ATTGAACACTCTCTTTACAATCACTTCAGTTCTGTAATCAAACGAGCCCCTTATACGCGAGATCGCGAAAATGTCAAGAGAAATAAAAGTGAAAAATAAAAATCGGAATACGGTTTAGCACGAGAGAAGAAAAGGAAAAGAAATACCGCAGAAAGCGAGCCGTGAAAACGTTAATTATACTCGGTAAAGTTATTCGGTATAAATGCGTTCCATTGATAAAGCGATAAAAGTTAACTTACAAATTTGCCGAAGTCAGCTTGAAATTAATTTCCTGACCCATACACGATTGCTATATTTACACGGTTTCCTGAAGCCCCGCAATTTCCACGTTCCCGACCACGTTCAACCGAGCCAAGTTGGAGCAGCGAGGGGTGGTTTCGGGACGCGTCACCGGGGGTTTAGTCGAAACGATCGAAAGTAATTCGCTGACGCTTCTTTTAATTCTATAACAACGTTTCCTCCGCGCCACGAAACGTTCCAGAAATATTATTAACCCGTGGCAACCCCTCGCAACTTGAACGATATCATTAATCATTGGAAAAACAAGGGTGGGATCGTTAAAATTTCCTTTCCAATCGATTCGTTCGCTCGAACGAAATATAATTCATTAGCCGGTGATGAATTGTCGTAGTCTCGTGGCTGGACGTTGGCAAATTACTTTTCTATTTACTAATCGAATCGACAGCTGGGGGTTGCTCGAAGACGTTATCCAACCTTTGTCTTCCTGTCTTGTCTTGTTACCGGAATTGAATGCCTTCACGATAAATTGATTAAGCGACAGAATATTTCTCTTTGCAATCTTCCCGAGTTCAAATTCTCTTTACAACCCTCGCTACATCGAACTAGAGACAAAATATCGAGCTGCTCGAGGTCACATTTTTATTTACAACAGCAGCTGAATTTATAAAAATAACGAGAGCGCAAAGTGAACAGCGGGTTTCTATATCTTTGAAGTTTTCCGATTCGATTAAGCGACGTAGTCTATGAAAAAGAACACAGGGGTGAAGCAGATGAACGTACAGGTTGGAATACGCACGAGGGATGAAAGGATAAGTTGGTTCATTTGAAGCGTTTCTTTTGTTGCGCGGGAACGATATGAAAAAGGGTGGCTGCCACGGGAGTTACGCTGGCCAGTTCGCTTTGTAGTGGAAATTGTTTCCTTTTTAAGTAAGGATGCAAAGGAAAATTTCGAGCCGGTCCTATTTTTCCCGCGGAACGCGATCCCGCCATTTTACTGCCCCCGGCGATGTAACTGCGGTTACAAGTTCAACAAGTATCTCACAAAGAATACCTAGACGATGAAATTCTATACGCTCATGCGATCCTACTCGAATTCCGTGAAACTTAATTCTACCGCAGGTAATTAGTAAATCTTCAATCTAATCGAATGACCTTACTGTTTTATCATTTTTTCCTCGACCGTGAGGAATTAAAGTTCATAATCGGCAATTTCATTATGAATATATTTTGCTAATTTTAATTCAAACTTGACAAGGAGCTAGATTGAAACGGGGAAGGCTCTTCTTTAAAATCTGTCGAGAATATCGTCGGGCGGAACGTCAAGGAAATGAAATTACCTCGCGAAGAGTGTCTACAAAATGGCCGTGCAGTTGTTTCCCGGCTCGTAAGGGGATGAGGGGTGGCAGAAGGAAGTAGTTGAAATGGTCAATGCGAGGGAGATGCGGGAAGACAGCCGTTTCAACGACGTCTCTGGCATCGAACGACCCTCTCGCATGAAAAATAACTCGAATTTAAATGGCCCATGCACGGTCATCCCCTTTACGACCGTTACGGAGAAATAAACGGTGGACAAAATTTATTTTACAAATCCTCGGTTGTAAACTTTTTTTCCATAATTAATATCTCGAATGAGCGGAATTAATTTTTTAAAGAAATAAATTTCTATGGCGGTAAATGATCGAGTCGAAGGAACATAATAGAGCCGATCCACCGAGGCAAGATGTAAATTTACAATAACCCACCGTGTAGGTGAATTTCATCGTTGGCTCTCACCCCCGGCGCTCTCGAAGATCGTTTCAACCCCCAGATACGTTACCCCTTCCGTTTCTGCCGCCATCACGCTCCACTTTTGCCGTTACCCTGCCGTTAAATCGTAGCACTTTTCCGAGTTAATTAATGACCCGCCGGTAATTGATTATTCCGCGGGGGCAACGCGTGTCCCGGCTATATATTGTCATCGAATTTATCGCGGTTACGGGGCCAGGTTTTTGCGTACGTTTGCGGCCAATATTGCACTCATTGATATCGGCGAACCTCGATGGAAAATGGATCGTTAATGGAACTGTATGATTAATCGAGAAGTGCCCTGACAAAACTAACTATCAACATTCCAATTGTTTCTCGTGCAATTTTCAAAAGCCTTTAAATTAAATTTAATGTACATTGTAAATAACAAGTACCGAACAAGCTACACCCGGTACAATTTACAGGAACAAAAGAGAACCAGCCGAATCGTGACGATTAAAAATGGCGATCTTCGATATCAGATTCACGTGGAACCAAAGGAAACGCCTTCACCGTTATTTAATTTATATTATTTTAACAAATGTGCTCATCGGACTTGCATTGTTTTTTCTGGGAATCTACGCTTCGTTCACGGTTGCCAGCATGTTGAAATTAGAGGAGATAGATTTGTTCCAACTTGTATTTAAAACAATAACGTTCTACGGATTGTACGTTTTCGTTCACAATCTGCTGGGCGTGAAAATGTGCTACAATTATTTTCGTTACGCCGAAGGGTAAGAATTCAAATTAGTATTAAATTTTCCAACGAAAAGTGGTCCTATATCTGAACGCTCCTATAATTATTTCATGGGCGCATAATTACTGTATTCTATAATGTGTACGGCATTTAAATTTCAACATAACGCAAGGTGCGTAGTTTCGCGATATCAATTATTCCGATGATTTATAACTCTATAATTTCATCGCGTCGATTCACCTGCTACGGCATTGTTCGACTAATTCGCGAACGTAGAATATATAAATACATTTACGTTTTTGTGGGTTATCGAAATTGCTAATGGAACGTGTGTTTCGTGATTGATTAGAATTTTCGTTAATAAATTTTTTGTTGTCGAACGAACAGATCAATTAAAGATGAAACGCGGAACGCGCGACGGTGAATTTTGCCGCACAATACCGGGCAAATTGTGAATTAGCAATCGGCACCAGGTCGTCCACGATTTCGCGTAAATGAGTTAATGCGAGCTAGGGACCGGGATATTCTTCCCTGCGATATTTCCGTGGCGGAAACCACGGCGCGATGCGAAATTCGCCGGATTGAAGCATTCATTACAGCCAACGGGGGTGGTACACGTGAATACGATCAATTGACCTTTGTAATCGAATCACAGCGCGTACAATATTGCCCTGAGAGAATTATGAACATTTACGAAGAATGGCGGACTGAAAGGATCGAGGTGTAGAATGGGTCTTTGGTGAAAAATTGAAAACGACGAAATCGCGGAGAGGGTAGAATGCAGGCCGAGAGGTTCGTAGAATGTTAAAGGTGACAATAGTCGCATAGAAACGTTTGAGCATTCGGAAACGTGGTGAAAATTGCTTCGTGCAATCTTCCCTTCCTTTTTTCGTCAGGATCCTAAATTCGGGGAGACTTTGAAAAAGAGAGGTGTCGAGAAAAAGTCAAATATATTAACAGGGATTAACAGAGTTGCAAAAAACGAAGCTGATGGTTTTGCCAAAATATGTTAAAAGGAGAGAACACGTGAATACCGGATGAAATATATCTGTTATTTTTAACCAACGATATTTGTTGCAAAAGGGAAAACATTTTGATAAATAACTTTGTTCTTTCAATGTCATATTTTGAAACTTCGAAGCTGTTTCTCTAAATGGACATGGTCAGAAATACGCAGCCATCGCCGCTAACAAAAAGCGTAAAATTGTTATAAAATAAAATTTTGTAATTTCGTTGCATCGAATACTGAACAAATAATTACGATCAAAAATTATCGGTAAATTTTATAAGCCATTTTACATAAATAATTCCAATTTGAAACTTAATTAATTTTATAAATTTTATAAATCACTTTACGTAAATGTTTACACATCATCGAGCGTAACGAGAGTTTATAAATCTTGTAATTTATTTTGCATCAATATTTCAATTTGGACTTCGTCAAATGTGATGTGACATTATATGAAGTTTCAACAAACATTTCAATTTGGACTTCATAAAGTTCGCTCGTATTTTATAAATTTCTGTAACGAGACCCACATCGTTGGTTATTTTCATATTGCTTCGTTGATTAATCGCGGTAATTAGAACGTATCGAATAAAAGAAGCTGCGGGAAAAATTTGAGAAAATCAATCGTTCTCAATACGTTCACGCGTTTCCGATATTTAACCGCGGCAGGAAGAAAAACGATAGAAAACGGAAACAAAGACAGAGTGGAAAACAGAGGGTTGCGAAAAGCGGTCTAGACCGTAAGCTCGTTGGCGAACGAAGCCAAGAATTAACCCCTTAACGCGTTTTTCTTAATTCCACCGTTCTCCATCGCGGTCGAACCAACAGGCTCGAATTGGAAAAGGGCTGGTTCGCCGAAGGCCAATCGATTTGTCAGAATTTTCAAGCAATTCCACCGTTCCCGATATCTACTCCTGGTCGACGGTTCATTTGTTTTAATTACCTTTACTCGTTAACGTATCCTCGCGGTTTAGTACTCGGTGATTTTCACAGGCTGTCGACGCTGCCAATATACAGCTACTCTGAAAATTAGAGACTCTGAGATTAATCTCCGTTGTTAAAAACGAAATCGTACGGGACGAATTCTGTCGGATTAATTATATTATCAATACATAACATTGAAAAGAAAATGTAGTTCATCTGAGTTGTTATATGAAATTAAGTAATGTTCTTTCGTGCGTTGAACAAGATGTTACTCGTAAGTTCATAATTGGAGAAAGTGATCTTAGCACACACTGGGAGGATCTGTTTGTGTTTGGCGTGTTACAGGCCCTGGATGAATCTGAGACTGTTCCTGTGGACGATATTGGGGTTATTCGTGGTCTTGGTGGGCTGTTTCATGGCCGGCATCTGCATCTCCACGGCCGATCAACTGACTCAACAAGTTCGTCAAATTCTGGTCGAAGGCGAGTCCAATCCATTAACTCATAGTAAACCCTATTCCATCGAATCGAAAGTACTGGCGAAAATATTTGTAGCGATAATCTGAGAGAGGTTCGACACTAACGAAATTCGATGAGAATTAAACGGAAGATCGTTCGAAATCGAGGGTACGAAGTTTCGTTGGAAATCGAGCCGGGCAAATTGCTCGTGAAATATTCATCGATCGAACACGCGAGCGTTGTTCACGATCGGCAGGTGGCAAGCCACGAATTCATTTTCTCCGCCTGACGATCCGCTTCTGCTCCCCCGTCTTTTTTTATTTTTCCCTCATGCTCTTTTATATCGTTGTGTCATCCGGTATGGTAACGCGAAATTTGAATATTTAATCAAGAGTAAGAGAGAGCGGCGCGGCCGGTTTATGCAATAACCGTGGCGTAAAATCTTGTCGAGGCGAGGCGAGGCGAAACAGGGAACGCGATGATGCGTCGAGGTTCGATAGTCACGCGTGCGAATCCGTCTGTATGGCGGACAGATGGCGAAAACGGTGGAAACGCGACGAAATAGTATAGCCCGGGCATAATATGCAAATCGGCGGTCGAACAACGCTGGCTGCCCCGTGGAAATTACTGATGGAAATCTCGTTTGGCGTACGTATACTTAATGAATAGATACGGCAGGATTCTCTTCGAAATTCGACGCGTTTGCTCACGATAAACTTGCCGCTGCATCCAGTTCTGTCCTCCGCTACGCAAATATCCCGCTGATGATCATCTACGAATGATAAGCGCTCCATCGATCGATCGCTGAATCTCGTTACCTTGCCAAGAATTTACCTCGGATATCGGCGGTGACGTTCCTATCCACCCTCTTTTTTTCATTTTCTCCGTGCATGATATACCGGTACAACTGACTGTAACTCTTTACACAGGAAATTGTCAAAGTACTAAAGCAGGACCAAGTTTTCTTTCAGAAAGTTCAATGCTTTTTTTTTTTAAAGACCCTAATTTTGACTCCACGTTAGATCGTCACGGTCGACATAGAGAGACGAAAGTTTAAATCGTGTTTCGATTCGAAGAACTTTGAGTGTAAATAAGTAGCTAGTTTTCGATGCAACCCACGACTAATTACGTGCCGAAGAAGTAGTTGCACGCGAGCACGCGCGAGTAAGAGGTCTTAGGACATCGAAGGGAGCTTTGGAGTCGAAGTTGTTCGGAGTATCAGACTTGTAAGTGGTGGAAAGTGTCGCGAAGAGGGTAGATATAGAGGAACGAAGTCCTTCAGGAATTTACTTCGAAACTGGGATTCCGTATACTTCACGGTAGAACAACTGCGTTCTTAAAACCTTCTGATGAACTCGCTTCTCAAAGGATCTCTTTCGGAATTACTTTTCGGAAGGAGGAAACAGGTAGAAGCGATTTTATTAGCTTTATACCTTTTAAAGCACCTATCCTTTTAAACGGTAATTTCGGGATTACATCGTCATTGGAAATTTATACATCTTTAACATCATTTTGTAATAACCATATTTGTCATCAAAGTTATTTAACGAGAGAACCCTCAAAGAGAAGAGCCGCGTTAAAATCCCCATTGCAAACGCTACTTTCGCATCGCGTTTGCTCGTACCTTCGATTTTCGCGGAAAAATCACTGCCCCTTTGTCGGTTTACACAGCGGTACGTGAAAAAGGATTGAAACCATTCAGTCCGGGATCGAACCTTTAATTGGTCACGGTCGATATTTAATTACTTCGACGGAGGCTTTTTAATTAATGCCACGTCGGAGGTTCGCGGATGAAAATTTCAATTTTACCGTAACCCGGACTTCCGGCTTCCTGTGTCGATGAATTTCTGATGGGATATAAAATATCGGAAAGTCGTACGGCGCAAAATATTCCGAGTCGAGTCAGACTACACCGTGGAATTTGATACTGTTCTCCACGCTACAGGCTGAAGCGAATAATTGAGATTCATACGCGTGTACGTCGGACAATTCATCTTAATACTCCTTTTTCTCCTCGTTCTTGAGAGCCCCTTTCATTAGGTGACTCGGGGGAATTCAATCATCCTGGGAAGAAAAGTTACCGTGGTACATTATCTCTAAATGGACGCTTTTTGATTAATCGATATTGACACTGATATGACACTGATATATATTTCATACACAAACTTTATCTTTTATTCGAATTCTCCTGAATGGCGATGAAGAGTATAACAAATGAATTTATTTTAATTCCGACCTAATTGTAAAATGACGTAGTGGATACTTTGAACAGGTATGAGGAGGTATCTTGCGGACGTGACATGGAAACGAAGGATAGATAACATGCAAGTGCAAATGCGATGCTGCGGAATAGATTCCTCCGACGATTGGCATAAGACATATTGGCTGCAACGAGACCTTCTTGTGCTGGATTCACCCGATATCTTGAGGTGATTATCAGTTAATTGTTCCTGGATTGTCGTATTTCATTACCTTAGCACGTAACGACTATCGATACCGTCGCACCCTCGTTTGTCTGTCATAATCACACGCTCATCGTAATCCGTAGACAATGCACTCCATTTCTTAATACCTTAAATAGCACACATGATTAATATATCGTCAGAATTCTAATTGTGATCTACGTAGCCATTTTGACAATTCTGATAATAGATCAGCAAGAAATATAAAACGGCATTCCGAAGATAAATGTCCTTGTTAGAAAGATACTTAAAAATGCTGGAACTCGACGCAATGACCCGAGGAAAAACGGGAGAGCAATATCAGACAACAGAAATGATAATTCTAGTTTTCATTCACGTTCTTCCAACGTTTCCCCCGCAGGCTCGTGACGCCATAATAATTACGTGTAATACCACACGCGAGCCTGTCCACCGGCAGTCACGAACAAATTTCCCAGGAACTTTAATGGAAACGCAGAAAGTATGCCAGGATTTTAATTACGACTACACGCGTTCCGGCCTCCCGGCGAACGACGAAATTTAAACTGGCGCGGGCTAAAAGTTGTTACGTCTCGCGTAGCATTTTAAAACGCTCGGCTTTCAGAAAGCGTTTGATACACGCGCATACACCTAAGATCAAAGTCGTTGGCCCTCTCTCGCGATCTCGGTGACCGGCCATTCTCGAGGGAGACCCCACCGAACAGAGACTCTAACCTGTTCCACTTCTTCCTTTCCGAAATTCCCAACGCCGGTGTTTCACGATGCTTCCAAAAAGGATTTAAAACACCAGAGGCTTCCGGCCAAAGTACCAGTCTCCGGCCAGATTATTTCCGTGCTGGGGCCCTCCGCTTCCGGTCTGGCCCATCTAACTCACGAGTTAACCGCTCCTTCGCGTGTGCTTTTATCTGCGCCGCGCTGCTAACACGCCCACCATCTCCATTTACCGGATGTTTAAGAGTAGAAACGTTGCCGCAAAAGCTTCTCTATCGATTTTAACCTTTTTTATTTACAAACTTTCTAACCTTTGAGCTATCGATTTATTGCCTCGCGATATTATATCGAGAGTGCACAAATTTTTGTCTATTAGAAACATTCCAGTTTCTCGTGAAACAGACTTTTATTATAGAGTAAAATATCTTTGACTGCATGAAAGTGTCGATGAGAATGTTACGAGGATTCGATCGATAATTTCGCGCGAAGGGAATATAGAGCAAAAGTGTAGATCGGGGAATTTAGTTTTCGACGATCGAGGAAACGTAATTCTGTGGTGTGAGTTGAGAATGCAATTTGATGGCGGTTGACATACGTGAATAGTTGCGGTATCGAGGGGACCAGGATCGATCCACTCCAAGGTATAATTCTGCAATTATCATAACGAGAAATCGATAACCCAGTGTTCTATCTGTGATTACCAGCCGTGACACAAAGGCTTCTGTGCGGGCCGAGCTATTAACCCTTTATTATTGAACGTATTACCACCAGAACATAATGCACGCGTACGTCTATCCGCAGGAAACCTAACTATTAGGCAATTAACGCGAAACTGCTGTAAGCAACATGAACCTGCTCGAATGCTCGACGTATTATTGCCTCGTACCAGTCTCATCAATTTTGTGTAGCATTATGTCGAGAAAGGTGTTCTCGCGCACTGTGAATTCCATAACGCGTCGAGTCTCGAGATCGATCGAAAGATTTAATTAACAAAACGCAGCCAGCGTGTCTCGAACACGAGAAGTCCTGTGGCCGTTTCCTCGCACGGCTGGCCGTTGTTACTCGCTCGAAAACTCGTCTGGAAAGCCGCGGCCGAGAAAGCGTCGTCGAGCGTAGGAACGCGTGACACGGCTCGCAACTCATTCCAGACTTCGCGGACATGTTCGTGGACAAGTTCGAATTAGCAAGTTCAACAACTTGCGGAATGCCGATCGCCCGGTCTGACCTGTCCCTTGTCACCCTACGTCCCACAGCTTGCAAGAACCCTTTGCGACTCCGCTAATCGCAATTTTTTCCTCTCCTCGAAGCAGAACTGGCTACTATCGGGAAATTCCATGACAAAATAACGAGTTCGTTTGCAGTTAATTTACCGTTGTTTACCTTTCATACGGGAACGAAAAGCAATTGCTTTTTAATAATTGATTGCAAGGTAAAAATGAAATTAATTGCAGAGTGCATTTTGAAGAATGGTCGAACGAGTTAAAGCTGCGAAGGCGTTTTAGAGAAAACGTAGGGATTTCTGGCGTGTGCAGATAGGAGATAGAGCAAAGGGAAATGTACGTGAGAAGGCGAACTGACACGTAGGAATCTTGTTTCAGGTACGCCAAGTTGGATGGTCGCGTGACGCCGCCGGTGGTGCCGTGGAGTTGCTGTCGAATCGACGTAAAGGGTCCCTGCTATCACGATCCTCTTCAGCTGCCAAATCCGGAACAGAATTCCACTTACGACAGCCTGAACGCTCGGGGCTGTCTCATCGCCATGAAGACCTTGCTAAACGGAACGCTGTATTCCGTGCTGCCGCTGGTCTTCTGTCTGTTTGTGTTGCAGGTAAATCAATAACATAACGCATCGGCACAGTATTGTTTAATCGAATCGAAACGACGAGTTTGATGGCGAAACCAGGCTTCGAATAGTTAATATCCATTTATGGTCGTAACGCGGATTTTTAATTTTGAATAAAATATAGAGTCGAATATCGGTGATGTCTGTTTTAATCGAAGATTGGAAAAGGCTTTTCGTTTTTCATAGCTCATAATCCTCGCGGCGGACGCGTCAGCTTGAAAAATTGTCATCAAATATTTGTAATTTCATCGTACGAGCTTTCGAGAGCGGATTTAGAATAAATAGCGGTAACAGTGAAGCCCGAACGAGATGAACGGGTCTCTCGAATAGTCGTGGATTATCAGATTCGTTCGGAGTTATTGATTGCCGCGAACGCGATGATACCGTGTGTCATCGGGGTTTTGTAAACTGGCGATATTATAAGGTGAACGTCCGCTTTTCCCGCTCGGTGATCGACGAAACGAAAAAAGGTGGAACGGCGTTCGTTTCGTTTGCCGACGATTAAATCATGCGAGAGAATTGGGTCGCGCGAAATTTAACGGGGGAGAAAGGAGAAAACATTTCCCACGGAATTATGAGACGTTCCGGTAGAATTAGATTCAAAGATACGCCATGGAAGGAAAAAAAGTAGCGCTCGCGTTTGCGAGGGAAACTCGCGTGCTCGAAACTCGTTTCGTCTCTGCAATTTAATTCCGTTTCCACCATTCTTCGTCCGAGCCACTCGAGCCGGGCCTTGGTATCATTAAGCCGGCAAATAGTCGCGGTTAATTAAACTTACCGCGTTCCATCCACTCGTAAGTTTTTCCCTTATCGAACTGATAAATTAATCCGTTTAATTCGTACGCTCTGCCAGCCGCTTCCCCGAGGCTGTTGTCGATTCATTTTCGAGATGAGACAAGGGTTACAAGTTTAACCCCTTGGATACAACTTTAATTATAGATATTTTACCGGGCATTTTAAGCCGCGCTTTAAACGGTTCATTTGTTCCTTTATCCTGGATCAACAATTCTGGCGATAAAACGCGTAAAAAGGTCTGCTCGGGGTTAACGAAAAGTTCGCAAAATTTTATCGGCTTTTGTTCCCTCTCGCAGTATGTACATAACAACTCCGAGAAAACGTGGTCCGAAAAGCCTCTTAGAAAGCTGGCAAGTTCCTCTCGAGGGCACAGGCACGCGTTGACGCGTCGTAAAGTCGAAAAACACTGTTTTACGAGCGGAGACGCGATGGAGCGGAAGAAAAAATTGCGAAGCTGGAAAAAGCGGACGTGGCTTGTCGCGTTATCCTTTGGTCGTATTTCGTTTGCCACGATTTACGCGCCCATTTGTATTATCGTTCCGCTATTTACCGAATTAAAACTGTTAATGGAATTTCCGCCATGATAAGAACGGTTGTTTTAACATTTTTAAAGAAATTTCTGCCAAGTTTCTGGTCGATCTCGTATCTCACCAAGCAACGAATCGTAAAATGATAAAAGACTTGCTTCGACACTGTTCGCTATACGTACAATCCAGATTGCCGTGACAGTATTATCGAGACTTGACTTTACGTCGGCAAGAAACGCGGTCGCCCTTGGGAATCGATGGTCAGCCTCTCCTGGCTGGCTCTATGGTCGTCTGGATTTTGGAAACGCAAGCGGACCTAATCTCTGCCAAATCAATCGAGTTAGTGTTGACCCACCGCATGAAATCAATCGTCGAACGTGAGCCAATCGCTCTCTTTCACGATCTCCTCCGTGGAATATTATGTCGCGCGATGAAAAAGACTGTCCGGTTACGAGAGGGAATAAAGCCGAGGGATTGGGTTGTGCGAAAATACCGATTCGATCTGATTTCGGACAAGTAGCTGTTTTGATGGAATGCCGAGTATCTGGAAATGTAACGGGAGGGTACTCGGACTCATTTGCATGGACGTGCAACGAGGTTAACTTAACCTTATCACGAAATACGAAATGATACACGGACGCTTAATTACTGGAACGGTGAATCGAAAACGATTGTTACATCCTGTACGATTAATCGCTGTACAGCACGTTTCATGTCGAAACAATTCGTAGCAAAGTAGCGAAGCGTTTCTACTTCGTGATTCACGACCATTTCTTTTTATATTACGATATTAATGTCAGCCTCACGTTTCCGGACAGTCCAGTCCCAGCACGCTCGCGCTCCGTTCGCTTCTCGCTGTTGCTAATTTTCAAACCGTACGTGTACTGCGCGAAAGTTACTGGCAGGCGAAAAGAGTTAAAAAGTAACTTTCTAACTTCGCGAGAAATATCCGTGGAATGAAGTTTACGCCCCCGGCACTTTTTCCGTGCCCGCTGTTCTCGGGTTGCACGTCGTCGAAACACTTTGTTCGAACGTCGACGTTCCGCGGTTTATTTGTTTAATTTTCTAATTTCTTCGAGTTAGAATAGCGGTGTGCGGCTGAAAGAAGCGGGCACGCTCGTCAAACTTTTATTAGAGGGTCGACGCGATGAAACTTTGAGAACTTCTTAACCGCTAGTGTTGCACTTGTCGGAACTTTTTTTATTTTTTCACGTTTCCCTCGCGATACGTGGCCTCGCGAAAACGTACGAACGCTCCTTTCAATAAAGTTATGAAAGCGTGGATTAACTTCCTACAAATTCTCATTCCTAATTCGATCGTTCCATTTGCGACCCCACAGAAGCACAGCGGACGAGGCGATTCGATGATCGACCTGAAGCCTCTTGTTTACTCGAGTGACACGGAATGAAAAGAGTCTGGACCGTACGAATCATATTTCCACGAAGATCCTCTTAACAAAACGTGACTGCTATTGTAAATAAAGTGTTTATATGAAGAAACGAGTTTTGTGATATTAATTGCACGGATGTTTAACAAAAGAGCATCCTTTTAAAGCGGTAAAAGGGGTTGAAAACCGCACCCTCGTCGATTGTAACGCGGCAGAGCACGAAGCTGAACGGACGAGTGAATCCCAGTGGGATCTTCCTGTTCTTGATCCCCCTTCGTTTCGTCCCTTTTTACCGGCATACGTGACAGTTTAAATTGAGTTCGCGACATCGGAACGAGCGGGCCACGCGCGATTATGCCTTTTTTTACCTTCCATACTGACCGTTTCTTCGTCGCGAGATTTCAACGGTTCTTCGAGACGAAGAACTCTGGGAATCGGTCGGAAACGTGACGAGGGTGTAACCGCTTTTTCCCCGTCCTCGGGGCTCATCCCTTGCCCGGCAAAAAGATATTTTGAACATGTTCTCATAGATGGATAGGATCGACCGAAATAAGTCGTAAGGGATTCGTCGCTCGTCGCGACAATAAATTTCGATGCTAAAAATTCGGATAAACGTTTAACTCCATAATGGAATCATGGAAATATCCGATCGTACTAATCGCACGAAATTGTCTATAATTGCTTCTTTTCTCCGGCTTGTTCGGCATCGAATATCACTATTCTTTGAAAGGAGAAACGTCGCCGAATATCGTTAACGTAGCTTCCTATCGTCGAAGTGCCTTTCTCTTCAACTTCGTCGTTCTTTTGTCCCCATTCTGTTCCCCATCGATCGGTCGACTCGATACGGGGGAGAAAACGAGCGATCTAGTGGCGCGACTCGATTAACCGATTCCAATAATCATGGTGAAAGCCATCGTTGAAACCCGACGACAGACTTTCGCGAAAAGAAATTCGATAAAGTCTTATCTTATCGTCCGTCCTTATCCTCCCTCCACCTTTGATTCCTCCCTTTTTCGATGGCTTGTTTGTTCCTTTGGGGGCTGTTTCGAGTGTTTCGTAATCGATGATCCATTAATCGTGCTTGTTCGTTAAACGCTCCGATGTCTTTTCATTTCGATAAAAGCTCGTTTACAAATTTTCTATGATCGATATAGTCATTTCTAGCCTACACGTCTCTTTACCCACGAATTCTCTTGTAGAAGACCTTTCTTCCATATTTTCTCTAGAGGAGCCAGATTCTCCAGGGTATAGCACTCTGTGTATAAGGCTCGGAAGTATTAGTTTGCATACTGCTGTTGTAATTTTCACTGAGCTTTCATTTAAGAATGTTTCTCGTCGCACAGACGAAGCCGGATCGTTTCAGCGGAGTCGTTGATTGGAATTAACCCTGATGAAATCATGAATATTGATGGTGTCCAGAGTCTTTGCAGACGAAAATTGTAGAGCGAAAGGCCGCGTAATGAGTTATTCAAATTTTGTTTATCTCACGCGGATTCGAGAGCTTCAAAGCGGAGATCCGAGTCTTTGAGAGGCGTTCGTAAATTGAACAGAACTTCCGGGCCGAGTCGCTTTGTTTCTCGTCGAATTTCCGGAAATCTGGGACCCGGTCGAATTTCGTCTTCGTTCCGAAAAGAAAGCCGCGACGAGAAAGGAACAAATCGTCTCGTTTGACCTCGTTCAATTTAATAACGGCGAATTTACGCGGAACACGACGAGCTTCTTTTCATGGGACGCCGTAATTTTCCTCGACACCGGTAACGAAGTTCGTGTAGTCGAGCTTTTTCGCCGTGTTAACCGTAAAGCGAGCAGTTTTATGCGACGTCCGACATATTAGTCGAACTGTTGCTAACGGACCGGTTGAACACAGCTGTGGAAGCAAATCGTCATAAGCTTTTCAGATTAAAGCTTTTCGATCGCGAGTTTTCCCTGTTAGAACCTCCCGAGTTTTAGAAGTTTTGCGGACAAAGGATTTGGTTGCGCTCACCAGAATTAATACTATTAAGTTCTAAAGCTCGTACGATTAGAGCTTTTCAAACTTTTAAGCTTCTAAGGCGTAAGCTTAAGGATTCGAAATTGAAAGTTCGAAAATTCGAACAGTTCTCCTCCGGTATTAGTTTCCCAAGCTTTTAAAGTTGTAACGCGTCACTTCCTTCGAGGTTAGAAGCCTCGAATTTCAGATCCTATCAAAGCTTAGAGCTTTCAAGTTTAACTATCACGGTATCTAACTACTCGGCATGCTAAGCTTTTATTTCCCAGAGCTTTCACGCTCGGTTCTTTTACGGGCAGCCTGTGTTGTTCAACGCTTTTGACGTTTGAAGCTTCTTATTTGCTAGCTTCTTAAAGTTAGAGCTTTCAGAATTTAAACCTCCCGAGTTTCAAGCTTTAAAGCTTACACAGAGAACTTGTAATACCTCCCGATGCTCCAAGTGGACGTACGTTGTTTCCGAACTACCAGGATTAAAGGTGTTTAATTCTATAATTTCTATGTATCGAACATTTATCGAACTACCATAGAGATTCTTTCTCGAAGTAAATTTTGGAGCTTACGGTTTTCAGAGCTTAGTTCCAAGGTCAATCTAGTTCGAAAATGAGAGCAGCAAGAATTTAGAGGAGGACGCATAATTAGATACAGGTTTTCGATGGACCAGAAAGGGTTCCCGAGATACGAAGATTTAGCGAAAAATTCGTGTACGTTTCAATCGTTTATTTGGCCATATCCAGAGACGATCGAGAGAGCGAGCAATTTCCCGAATGCCGATTTTCCGAAAATCGAACTCGCTCGCCTCGAACGAGCCCCGTTCGGTTAACCGACTGGACCGTACGTGTACCGGTTATTCCGCTGGCCATTGTTTCCGTTCGATTCGATCGAGAAAGCAGTTAGTCCCATTCCCGTGGCCAGCGAACCGATTCGAGAGTGCAAGCTGCACGAGACAGCGGAAGCACTCGAGGAAATCCCCCGGTCGTCCAGCAATCGATTGCCGAAGGAAAGCGTTCCCGGCAACCTACCCCGTTGAACAAACATCCGCGGACCTCCTGGCCGTACATGGGTCCTACTCTTTCACGGGACTCGCTAAATTGAAATTCGATTCTCCCTCGAGAGTACGAACCATCATGTAAAACGTCCCGCACACTCCGCGTCAAACTTTTCACCTTCTCGAATCAACGCTCCGTAATATCTCGGATGTCCTCGGAAGGAGCTGCGATTAATCGAAACCACACTTTCCACTACAGTGCATAATTTTCGTGATTGCACACATTTTTGTAACTGCAAACAATTGTTCACGTAACGGTTCAATGAAAGACTCATCTTGTAATAGTTGGACAACGGATCATAAATTTGTCAAAGACTGCAACATAAATCATAAGCTGTGGTCCCCGTGGATTGCATGGTTGATTTATACTCCGCAAACTTCGGTACAAACGCTTAAACATCCACAGTAATAATAAATAAGAGCCCCTGTGTTTGAACGGTTCGCTTTGAATTCGAGAGCTCGCAATTTAGACCGGTTGATAAAGCAATCTGCAGGGAGCATTAGAGACTGCTTACAGTTTACCGTAATTATTCGAATTGTGACTCGATCCTCCGTAATTAAGGTAACAGAATATTCGTAAATAGAGCGCGAATTAATCAACGGGCGGAAGACGCTCCTGTTTCGGAAGAAACTGGGTCGAAACAGAGTGGCCAAAAGCAACGGTAGCTGTCGTATGTATGCTAATTGAACGAGGAGCAATCTGGAATGGACCCAGTCAGTGGCTTCCAGTTGATTATCATCGCAAGTACTCGGCACGGAGTTTCTGTGCGAACGACAATGTGAAAACAGCTTTAATGTCCCTGCTCGTCGACGGTGCAACAGCACGACAAAATTCTGTTTCTCGGATTACAGCCGGGGTACACCCTTTCGTCGAAATTGAAGTCATAACGTTCTCGCTGCTATAGATCCTAAATTCGCTACATTTTTTACGTTACATCTGAGTCATTCGCATCTAAATAATTTTTGCTGTAGGACAACTAATAGAAGTTAAAATGTTATTTTGTCTTCATACTGTCTAATTTTCTGGACAACTAGCTGATTGAAGACATGAAGACACACAACTAGCTGATTGAACAACATGAAAACAACTGATGAAACTCAGAATGTTACATTCAACGATCCCTGTTTATGCAAATTATAAATTGAACCCAATGTTGCAGTGAAAATATGAGACTTGTCACGTGTGAACTGCAGTGTGCGTCATAAATGTGACGCTATCGTAGAACAAGATCATACAGGTTATTTTAAGTAACATATTCCATACGTGGTCACGAATGGTTCACGAAGAGATGCGATTAAGTTTTCAATCAACGATAACGTTTGCAGTATTGGAAGATTAAACATCGAAGCAATACAGCGTGCAATAAAATATTCGCAGCCGCGAAATGAAACATTGAAATATTTAATCGCGATGAATTACCCGTACATCTTTAATGTCCGATCTCTTTAGTCAATCGTGACATCGGTAATGGAGATTAACGAGAAAAAGATGAACGTAGAGAAGGAAATGGGACAATATGAAAATCTAGTTGAACGTTTTGTTTTGGGAGTAGGGAAAAGAAATCGATTTCCTTGGACGATTTAATGCGGCACAGCTCAATTTTCCGAGTGTCGTTAAAGTTTTCCGCGAGCTGGTCGCGGACAGCTTCTATCAGGCAAAATACAGCCGAGTCGCAGTGGCTTTTGTAGCCCAAGTTTTCGTACTTCTCCGGGCCATCGGAGCCATTCTTGCCCGCTTGTACATACCGTTCGGTCCAACGTTTCGTTCCCGTGGAATTCCGAAAAGTTTCGCTCTTCATCCACCCTAGTCAGGGGGAAAATAACAGGGAATCCGAGCGAAAGGGAAAGAAAAATGTCTGTCGACTGCTTTTAGGAAACATCGACTAACCGCGTGCCAGCCTGTCTCTATACAGTCTATTCCAATTTGAACGTGACTAGAATGCGGACTAACTTTCCTAAATATTCCCTTATACCTTTCTCGTATGAGCCATTCTAAAAAACCCGCATAAACATGAATCTCCGTTAAAAAAATAAATCGTATTTGTACCTCTGCATTTCCAACGAAAAATGGTATTAGCGTGGAAAATGTATTCCCCCAAATTGAAACGATAAATGTTACCTGAACGAATATTTGATGAAAACTTCATAATTACAAAATTTATTCCATAAAATCAGTGAAATGATTGAAACCGTCAATTTCGTAAATACCGCGAATTTTATTATTACATTACTTCCGTGAAATATATTGTTTATCGCAAGTAATATGACGTGAAACGCTGTGGGAATTTTAAAATAAATTTTCTACCCCCGATTCGATGTCGCCTCTCATCTTAAGCTCTCCGGTGTAGAGCGATCTTAATCTTCCGCACCTAATTCCGTATCACTTTCCATCGCAAAGTGCTGGCTGCGGTGCTCGTCGCGTTAATTCGAGATAAATCCATCGCATCGACAGTTTCGATTTAATGCAGCGAATAAACCGACCGTGAGAAGCTAAACGTCGCTCGATCTTCGAGCGAAGATTCGCTTTTCGCGGAAATGTTTATCGGCTGACAGGAATTGTTTCGTAATTGGTGTACGACGAATTTACGCGAGCTGCGGGCGGACAGGAAGGCGGAAATTAAGGGAACGAGAACTACGTGGGAAGGGTTACCAGTTATGAAACACGACGTACGAACAAGGCTCGGTTGAAATTTACACGAAACTTAATCGGATACGTGGATTTCGCCTTTATAATGGGATACACGCTCTACAACATCAATCCATGCGTTTGTATCAAATTACAGCCCGAATGTTTCTCTGATCATCTGTAATCGAATATCTCTTCGATAAAAAGCATTTGTTGTTTTATGTAATAAAAGCAGTGAAAAATTTTTGTGTTTTATAATATAGAGTTCTGTAAAACAAAATATGTTTGCAATTTTTGTAATAAATATAATAAATATACGTTTGTAATTTTTGTAATAAATGTAATAAATAATTTTTGTAATAAAAAAATGTATGTAATTGTTCATTTGTGTGTCCACTCTATTTTTCTTTTTTTAACATAATGTCATCGATCTTGGGCGTGTACCATTTTCGAACTCCCATTTTCGCTTTATCATAACAGAAAGGGATGCTAAAGAACCAACGTCCGATAGGATAAAAAGCGTGGTCGAAGGATGTGGTCCTATCTGAACGAGCCATTCCACGCCCAAAAAATCGGCCAGTGATTCGGAGTTCCTGCAACCACTCCTGATCCTTTTTTCCCCATTTCGGTTGGCTCTTGGCCGACGATACCAGAAAAGAAAAAGGGGAAACCGAGGCCAGCTTTCGCGATAAGTCCCTCAGGCTGAAGGGAGCGCGTATAATTGCCTGGTGTAGCAACAGGTAATGCGTCGACCTTGAAAAAACTCGGGGAAAAAGCTAGCAATTTATTTCTACCCTTTGCGAGAGAACTTTCCGATTTCCGAACTGTCGAAATCTCGACTTTACAAAATAACGCTAATAGAAGTATAAATAGAACCTTCGAATAAAAATTCGAGACCATTTCCTATAAAAATTCTTGCGAAGTTATCTATGAATCCCTCTGTCTTACGTTTCTGATCCTTTAAAAGAGTGGCTCGCGTCACGTATTGTGTAAAATGGACGATGAAAGAAGATGAAGGATGATGGATAGAGACCGGAAGCAGGCTGCTACCACGTTTCGTCCGCGGTGATAAATAACGTGCAATAAAAATGGAGCGAGTAATTCTGACGACGTGTTGTCCGATGGCTGCGTTAAGGGAATAATAATGCGTGTGAAAGCGGCGGTGAAAATGGAAGAGCGAACGGTCTCGTGGCTGCAGAATCCTTTATACAAGTGGCGTAGACAGCTCTGTTTGAAAAATTATTGTTGTCTCGCTTTTCTTTAATAACACGCTGGGTAATTTAAACTACGAAAAATTCTTCAACGTTATTTTATCGGTGAAATCTGTGAATCTGCATAAATTCTAAAATAGTTTGAAACTTTCTGACTGCGACTCTGATTCTCTGTAACACAATTCGGTGGTTTCAAAGAAAGCATACCAATATTACAGGGCCGTGAGACGCCTCCAGGACCGAGTTACCTTGAGTGGAACTAACCTAGTTGTCCGCAGCTTTTCTTTCCTTCAACCTGACCCTACAAAATCCTACCACCCAAGGAACCCAAAGTAATCTTACCATTCGAGGGCCAAACCTGCCGCAAACGTTAAGCTTCGCTTCGAATCTCTTTGTTCATTTTATCATCGCTGCGATTCACCCCTTGCCTTCGAGTACGTTACATCTTAATATACTTTTCTACAACCCTGTTTTAGAGCCAGACAGTTTCTTAAACTAATTAAACCTCCCGTGAATCTTTGAAAGATGCAGATAAAAATACACGATTAGAAAACGCTGGAAAGGAAGAAGCAAAAGGATATCATAAACAACAATGAAACCCGAAGGAAGCTGGAACAAAGGTGGTGCGCGTGTACAGGTTTGAAAGGACAGCTCGAACAAGCGTTATCGAGCCGATCGAACGAGAAAGAAAGAAAGAAAAGGGCGGAACGACACGCCGGAGATCGTCCGAGTCCTCTGATCGATCAATAACGATTTCCCCGGGAATATAAATGTCTCCGCGAGTAGTCGTCCAGCTCGTTCGATTCGGCCCGTGTCCGGCATTGCCTTTTAATCTTGTAGCTTTGCCTCTTTTAATCTCGTCCTATCGAGCTGCTGCACCCCCTACCCGTTACTCGTCCGGTGCAATTTCTCCTTTCCCTCGCTTCGATTCGCTTCGAACGACTGAAATCGTCGCTCATCCAGCTAGGCTGCTCGCAAAAACATGCAAACTGCATGGCTGAATCTAACTGTCGAAACGAGCGATTCACAGATTTTGGCCGCGTAAGCTTTCATGATTCGATATACGGTGTTACGCGAATAAGTGGAAGGAGATTCGAGACTCGCGGGGATAAATGGTGCTTGCTAAATTGCTCCAAGACTCAACTAAGAAATATTACGTCCGAATGGAAATTGGCAGCGAGAGATCCTCGCGTACAAGATTTTTCCTTCTGCCATATTTGTTTATGTAACTATGAAACATGCGCGTTACATTGAGATTTATATACAGAAATTTCTAGACGCGCAACCAGACAGGAGTATTCCGGTAAAAGTAAAAGGATAAAATCAACCCGGTAACAAGATCACCCGGTTGTCCCATATATCTGTAATTATTTAAATTTATCATTGGTCCACGATACAGTGGGATCAGCGCGGGATGGATCTGGATATTTAGAGCGAGCTGGAGTACCCCATCAATCTCTTGTCGAGCTCGAACGGCCGTTTGGATGCTCGCAAATCCACGTCGTTTGGGTGGCCGGTGCATTAAACGGGATTTATATTTCCTCGAATAGCGAGCGAAAGCATCGATCGGTATTGTCGACTGGAAGCGACACCATTTTGCATCTTATTTAAAGCCTCGTCTCGCGGCGTGGAAACCGCACGAGCCAATAGACGACCATATTCCAACTTTACGGTGTTACCACTTTTGTAGTCTCGAGCCCATCAAATTGACTTCTCGAACGGGATTATTACGATTTTCGGTATACTGAATTGACTATCGATGCTAGATGTCTCGAGACACGCTCCCTTTTATGGAACATCTTTTGAAGGATGCATAGAAAATACTTGCAATGTTCGCTATAGAAGTCTTTCTGAACTTCTTAAAGTCAATCAACAGTTAAAGAAATATAACCATCTACAGGAATGATAAACTTCTAAATACATGGAGCCTAAAATTGAGAATTAAAAAATCCAGGATCCAAAATGAAACTATTCGATCTAATAAGAAAAGTGATGTTAAAATAGCAGAAAGTTCACGTTGTCGACAGTGTCGATTTCGAACCCAAAGTTCTCGATTCGGGAGACAAGCGACGATCGATAGAGAATCCGTCCGTCAGGATCTTTTCTGAAGGATCCAGCGATTCGGCGGTACTCGACAATATCTACGGCAAGACGAAAAGCGAAAAGGGTTCGGTGGAAACAGTTGGACGGTTCGCATAAATCAGTTGCACGAGCTTCTCGAGAAGAGAGAGGTGTCGAGTCCGGCAGACCGAGCCGTCAATAAAATGCAAAGACGGAAAGATAAAGTTAAAGATAAGCCTCCGGATCCGCACAGAGAGTACTTGGATGCTGAGTCCACCGACGAGGAGGAGAGGCAAAGTAAGATTTACGAGAAAAATATTAAAGGTCTTCTTCCTTTTTCTCCATCTTCTTCCTCGGTCTGTGCCTCTTGCCAACTCCTTCAGATCGTCTGTATTTTTCTTCCGGTTTCTCTCATTTCTTGGGCAATAAATTATCTAGATGTATGCAAGATGTGGAGGTGGTTCGACAATTAACGGATCTCTTTCTCGCCGAAGCTAACCTCTCTAACCTCTCATCCAAAGTGAATAATAATAATTGTATAAAAATGACGATATAAGTACAATCTTCTCTATCTATGATAAGGATCGGAATGTAGAGAGAAGATCGTTAAACCAGAACGACGTTAACGTCGATACGAGTGGACGTAGGGTGAATTATGACGCTTAAGGTGGCCACTGGTGGACGATTAATCGGTCGTTCACTGTGTTGCCGAGTTCCTAATTTGTCTCTTGGATTATGGTAATTTAAGCTCCGTTTCTCGAGCCGATTCCTCGGAGATTCGGTTAATTCGTCGCGACGTCTCGTACTCGCAAGCTTCGAAAGTAGGTGAACTAAATAAACCAATAACCCGCAAGCATCTATTGGTAGAGGTTAGTCTCTCCGCCTACGAGCGCACGGAAACTGTTATCCGGAATATCTAACCAGAAGCTTCAAGTATCCGTACGAAGAGACGGAGAAACGGAGACGAAGAGAGGGAGACAACGTTGAAACTACCCGCGAACAATTAATGTCACGGACTGGCTGCGAATGATCGAAGGTGGCAATTTTGCTGGGGGACTCGTTGCAAGATCCCTGATCCGATTTAATTTCGTATTAACCCCTTCGTAGTCGAACAACGTCGGTCCATTCGACTGATACGTTTTTACTGGCTGGAGATTGCTTCGCTTATAGTAAAAGGAATATCACGGTGACGTTGGACAACTGTAACTCTTATTAGGGTCTTTTGAGGACATAAATTATTGCACTTAGATCTTCCAATTACCTATTGCACCTGTTGCACAAAATCTGTCGTGTATTTATATTACATTCTGTACTTAAAATCTAGATTTTTAAAATTTCATCGCTCAACGATCGAAGATTTCCGGAGCGATGAAATTTCGACGGGAGCGAATCAGAGATACGCAAAACAGTGGAGAGAGGGAAATAATTTAGCGGAACGCGCACATCCCGTAAAGTGGCCGTAATTACGCCGACGATGGTACTCCGGACGCACACTCGTGCGTTAATACATACATCGATATCGTCGGGAAAAATGTTTACCGCGATATCCACCGGCGTTCGATTGTGTTCTCGCTACCCGTCGGCTTACCCGACCCTCAAAAAAGAATTACTTTCGCGTTGAACGCGTAACAAAATTGTAACGGTTAATCCGCCGGACGAGAATTTTATTGCGAGCCGTTATTACCGGCTGCCGATGCGGCCGTTCGATCGATTTTGCGTTAATGAATTTTAATAAACAGCGGACCGGCTGGCTTTTTCTAGCCGCATACTCGCTATAGGCGGTCCAAAATGATCCTTCTCTCGGTCGAATATCTCGTTCAAACCGCGTTCGTGCAAACGGAAAGAAATAGTTCGCTTAGCGCGTACGGTTCGGTAATTTCGAAACGATTCCGACGACAGGTTATCGAACATTTTCGTGTCGCGAAAATTTCGGCAGGAAGTTGAGGGAAAAAACGGGGTTGGAACGCGGGCGCGTTCCTTGTTGTTCTTCATGGCCGGCTATGCATTCTCCATTATCATCGGTGCCTCGCGTATCGCGTGTTTCGCGTGACGCGGCGCGAGTTATCGATGTTCCGGCGATGCACCTCCGGGGAATTCTCGGCGAAAAAATGTTTGAAACACGGCCAATGGAATTCGAACGGATTATCTGAAAATTGCTCAACTACGAATCGATAATGTTGAAAAGCACGCTGTGAATCTTTAGAAGGGATCCTTTCTATTTTTCCTATCCACCAATCCCTGTGGGACACCTGTATGCTATTGAACTGGTTTCAATACATGGTATAAAATAAGTAATGAGAACCTTGATTTGTGGAGGAATTAATGAACGCAAGAGTTAAAGACGGAATATAAAAGAAAAGAAACATAAGTCAAAGGATAAAAAGATCCGTGTAGGTAAAGTGGCGAAGCAAGTAAATCCATGGCTTTAGGCACCAGTTCGAATCCAAGCGAATGTGTTTCCATTTTTCCAGCGATTCACGTCGCCGGTGGAGAAAAGCCTTTGGCAAAGTGTGCGCGTGTGTTTTTCGTCGTCGAATTTATCGTTGGCGACAGGTCGAAGAAATTCCTGAAAGCCCTCGGTGTGCATCGGTCCCGCGGCCAGATCCGGTGAACATACAAGGGAAACGTGACGGGGTCGCAATGTAAACCGTGAGAAACCATTGGCGTGGAAAGCTACGTGACGGTAATAAGTCCCTTTGGGCAGAGAACAGAAGAGACGACGTCGTTATACTATCTACATAATGCTCGCTATCATTGCCCAATAAATTATAGCAACGTGTCCTCCCGCGGCGCCTCGATCACCCCGACGTGTTTCCTCTTCCGTCGATTCACTGCTAACCCGCGATTTATCGTTCCTATTAGATCGCAGGCAGCAAAAGCATGCCTGACCCGGAAAAGGGGTGCGAGCAGCTCTGGCATGCGGTTCGGACTCCACCCTCCGCAAAGAAAACAGCGTATAGAAAACAGGAAGAGAGAGATTCTTAAAACGAATGTCCCCGATTTAACTCCCCTGTCCGACCTAAAGGGTCGTTTACAATTCAAGATTAATCGATCGGTCTTATTACTTCGTCGAGTATGCTAAATTGTGATTGGAACTTTTCTCTCGGCTTCGAATTAGATGCTCTTTGAACGATTATAAATTTTAAAGGGACAATAATTTGCTGTTACAGAGCACACGGAAGAGGAAGTGGTAGAGGAGCTCAGACCAGTCTACGACGAAGAGGAGCTCACGGAACTAGTAAGTGAACCTATTCGCTGTCCTTCGGTATTGAAAAAATAACTCTTCCAGGTCAATTGCGTGAAAGATATGACGACTTTGAGTGGGCTAGTCGAAAGCGACTGGACTTACTACTCCGAGAGGACGATCCGAGAGTTCTTCAAGAACCCGAACTTGGCGGCGCTGACAGTGTATTTTGTGCGCGACCGGCTGACCGTGTCGCTGATGTTTCCCCTGATCCCTGTGCACGAGCTCACGTACTTCGTCAGAGAGTCTCAGGAGATCCTGCGGGCCGACAATTTCCGGGATCGCGTGTTGTTTGGGTCGGTGAACGGCAAGGTGGAGAGCCATATTTTGTCGGTGATGCAGAACGTGTTAACTCCGATCTTCGTGAAGATCGAAACCTGGCCAGACAGTATCCTCTCACGGCTTAACTCGTGTTTAATTAGTCTACCGGCGTGGAAAGTTGCCGGGTATCCAGGAACAGTTGCATAACGATACTTCAACGAGCAGAGTCTCGAAACTTTTCCGTCCCATCGTCCTTTTTCCTGGCGACGATAAACAATGCGTGGCCGAGCCAGCTGGGAAGCTTAATTGAGTAGAAGAGGTTGCGGTTCACCTCGCGAAATTCCGCCGTGTAGATGGAGCCAATTGAAAGGTTCAGACGGTCGGAAAAGTTTGCTACTAGATCGTAAATCGTCGAGGGGATGAATGTGTCGCATGCTCGAGGATTCTATGGCTGAGTAACAGGTATCTGCTGTGTTTCGCTGGAAATTTCGGTGCTGAGGGAACCGGTGATAAAGAACCATAGAGTTCATAAATTTGGATAATAAGGCTATTTTACACCGTCACCTGAGAATAGAGTGTGGGGACTTCAGCATCGTCCTGGAAGAGCGTGAATTTTTCTCTGGCCTGCACCAATTTACTAATTAGAATTGTAAGGGTTTCAAAAAATGTCCATATCAGGGTATTTTGGATCTCCAAACTTTGGAAATGGCCGACATCCTGAGGCCGCGAACATCTGAGTGCTGGGACAGTTTCCTTAGACCGGAAAGCAGCCACAAATGTTGGTCACCATTTCTAGTTTAAAGCATGTCCTTGCAATTAACCAAGCGTCGCTTCGATAGTCGTCAGTTAAGGGGCATTTGAAATAATGAAGCGACTTCCGGCCGAACGAAACGCAATCGTTTCTGACTGGACGAGTAATCTCGTTCGCGTACACGAGCAAACATCGAGGACGAATTTACGACGGTCGAGTTGCACAGTGCATTTAGTCGAAAATTATGGTAATAATAACTTCGTCTAACCCTTCCTGTTTTGCGTCGTCCTTGTTTCTCGTGGACGGACGTTCTGGGACCGACTGGGACCGGAAGTTGCCGCTGTACTTTACTGACCGGGGATTGCACTGGCCGAAGTTACAAATTCGCTCGGTAACATCGTCGCGTTAGATCGCTGTGTCTTTAAACCGAAAGGATTACGCTTAGTGCAGATAATCGTTCTTCGTTTAACGTTTCGACGTTTGAACGACTCTCTTAGAACTTATTTTCTTTGTGACACGTTTTTCATTTAAAAAGAATACCTTTTCTTTCAAAGAGACATTGCCGTTTACACCGTTTATGTAAATAAAGGGATCTCGCAGATTGTACTTGTTTCCTTAGCGAATAAAATACATGCGTGAAGGCTGATTTCTACACACACGTGGACACGTTTCTCTGCAACTTAACGGACCTGACGTTCAAAATGCTGGGCTTAACAGTGATATATGTACCCCCGGAGGGTAACGACCTCAGTGCAGACGATAAGGAATTGCTGAAGAGGATGGAGGGTGTGGTGGCACATTGGACCACTCAGATCAGAATCGCTGTATCGGACCAGGAACAAGCGACGCCGAATGAGTTATTGTGTCTCCACGACGAATACGACTTTTGGGTCTATCGTTGTTAGTAATCTGATACAAAGATTTTCATTGAATTAAACCTTAAAATGTTGCAAACCTACTCTCATTCTCTTTCCCCTTTTCTCATTATTTTCACGGTAACAGATGACAATTTGTGCGGTCTGGACTACCAACTTCAGAACCCCACGGTGAAGAACATAACAGAGTTTCTGCTGCTCGGTCACTCGACGTACGTGCGACAGTTTTTAACCCTGAAAGATGAGATCGAGCAAGGTGCGAAGGAAGCAAGATCCAATATAAAATATCTACGAATTTTGGTGGAGCCTTCGGAAGAATTAAACAAGTGTACCCATCCTGCGGAGATCCAGCAACATCTGATGAATATCATGCACCTGTTCAGGACTATCTGGCTGAACTCACCGTATTACAACAACTACGAGAGGATTCAGAACCTGTTCAAGGCGCTCAGCAATCAGATCATCATCCTGTGTCGAAATTATGTCGATCTGAAGCAACTGTTTGCGGGTCAGACTAGGATGTCCATGAAGAAGCTGAAGGAGTGCATCGACGCCTGCGAGAATTACAAATTGCTTTATGATAAAGTAATTATATCTATAGGAGTGGGAGACTTTGAGATTGGGGGGTATTTCGGAGTTTTTTTTGTAGATCCCTATTGTCCCTAGAAAAGTTGCGAGTGTACACCGTAGGTAAAATAAGGGTTAAATTTCATTTCCACATCGATCCCGCTCAACTCGACGCTATGTACAAATTCACTCGACGCTCAGGGTGCATTAAGGGACTATTAAAACGACGTGTGCAGAGTTACTTTAGATACTTAGGAAACAGCCGTTAAGCAAAGTGAGAGGAGTTCGCGCGTTAAGCGGAAGTCACGGTAATTGTACCATCTCTTTGGCCGGCTCACAATGATCCCCGTGAACGAGGAAACACGTACCTCTCCCTACCCTTGTTAAAATAATATTCGCCCCAGTTAGAACGCGTCATACGAGTTGCAATTAATCTTGCTTCCCTGTAATCGAGGCAAGTACACAACACAAATAAGCCAATGATCTACTTCTCGAAACGTCCGTTTCGTTCGTAATTTAATCCCGAGAAACTCGATTAAATAAGAAACTTGACAAATTTCGAAAAGCAAACTTCGACATTTATCTTTCGTTTGACGGCAAACTACGCTGGAAAGTTATTCTAATTTGAGAGACGCATCTTTGCTCTTTATTCAACGTAATCGTTCGTTACGATTCCTCCGTTGGTTTTATTGATCCGATAATATTTACCTGGTGTAATTTAAGATTATAACAAAAGGGAGTCGTGAAAGATGACGAGGGACGAGAAATAATTTGTCAACGAGAGATTACCGTTTTATCCGAGCAGCGAGGGTGGAGGGTTGTTACGAAACGAGGTCAAGTTTTCACGTTAAACGGAAGTGACAATAACCCCGACTTAGACGTTTCCCGCGTGGCCAGATAAGCATAAGTAGGAGCGAAAATTAGTGGAGCATTTTAGGAACGCGAAAGACTTCGAATTGACTAAGTTACAAGGTTATTACGATTTTTCCGGGGGAAATATCGACAGGCTTATAGCACAAATGAAATCCCATGGGTATCGTTGATGGTACGCTTGTCTCCTTGTAACGAGTATTTATTAATCCTTATTTTTATCGATACACCGTAACAAATTGAGAAAATTGATCTGTTCGCTCGTGTAGTTGTTTAATTAATGTTTATATTGTTCTATAGAAATGGTATATTTTTATTTGTTTGAATAAAGCGAAACAAATGTTCCCGGAATTGGCTGAAATGTGGAATAAAATTTTAATGGTACGATCGTGATATCGAGCTTCGAAACATTTCATTACTTCCGCAGCGATTCAATCCGTTCTTCCAAAAAATCATATTCAAATACTGAGAAAACTAACTGCCGATAAAATCCAGCGTACCGGTGAAATAACCGTAATAATTTATGGTATGCCTGGACAACCTTCTAAAAAATCGTCAGTGTCGAATTTCGCACCTGTCGAAATTTTCCCGCGCCCCGAATTTTCCACGCGTCAAATTTCTTACACATCGAATTTTTCGCGCATCGAATTTTTCACGTATTGAATTTTCCGTGTGCCGAATTTATCACGTGTGGAATCTTCCACGCACCGATTTTCTCAAGTGTAGAATTTCTCAAATTAAGTTTTGTTACGTGTGATCAAATGAGAATTGTCTCCACACTTGGTCTCCGCATCTGACGAATTCAATTATCAATGAAATTAATTCACACGCGTAAGAGAAACCTTTCTGACATCCAGCGTCGATTCGCCATCGACAGGTGAGAATGAATTCGCTTTATCGAGCAAAGTAACCGATACGGATTAAAAGGGAACACGCGAAGTAGCGTGATCGGCCTTATTTAGCCGCTATAAGTCGCGTTCCGGCGATCGATTTCATCACGTGGTACCGCGAGCCGGATATTAAACGACCCAACCTAGCCATAAATATAAATTTCTCGAAACGACTGTTTCATCCATCGGACGATCGTTTGCCTTTCAGATAGCGCACGCTCACAATATTCTGACGCACGTACCATGGGATTTAGACAGGGACAATATATTTCGTCATACTGATGTTTTCATCAGCAGGTGTCACGATATGATTGAAATCTGTCAGGCGATGATCGATTTTGCAAGGTAATCAGCCAACCCCTCTTTTGTGACCCCTTCAAAACCAGACTCGTACGCGAATTAATCCTTTAGCGCACAGTTTTTTCAAATTAATTATATAAACTTTGTGCTACAAAATTGACTGTCTAGCTTTCTGATGCATAATGTTTGAGAATATTCGATAAAAGTTTAAATACTTTATGTCCAGGGTAAAGGACTGTAGAAGTAGCGAGACTGGCCTTGAACTTGAAACAAAGAATCTCTAAACCTACTCGTAATGAAACATTAACGCTGTTTTCTAAGAAAACGGAATCTCAACCCCAGGTCCCACTGAGAGTGTTTACTCTCCACAAATACTACACCGTACATGCAAATGTTTGACCCTACAAGTCAAGGTCAAAGCTCCTACGGTTCTTTATCGATCCATTATAAAAACTTGATCACATAATTTTTCAGCACTGCACGTAATTGAAAAGGTAACTGTAATTGGTGTGTTCAGAATGGACGAGACTGTGGAAGTTATGCAACCAATATTCAGCGGCACGTTGGGCGAGGAACACGAGAGGGTGTGTCAAAAGATCGAGAGACTGTTTCGCCAGGCGCTGAAACAAATCGAGCAAAACTCGCACAGGATCTTGGACGTTCACTACGCGTTGTGGCACGACGACATAGTTGCTTTCCGTACGGAGATGAAGGATCTCGAGATCATGATCGAGAATCTGGTGGCCACGGTTTTCTTGAAGATGAACAACGTGCAGGAAGCGATCGAGGATCTGCAGGGATTTCATAATTATATGAATCGGGAGAACTTGAAGAGTCTTTTTGAATTGAGGACCGTCGAGGTGAGTATTCAAAGAGATTGAAAAGATCGTAGGACAATCTTATCGGTCCAAAAATTTGAAAAGATCGTAGGACATTTTGTCGATCCAAAAATGTGGACAACCTTTTCAGATATGGAAACTCTTCAGCGACGATATCCAACGAACAAAGGAGGAAGTCCTGGCTGAACGAGAGAAATATCCTTCGATGACCCCATATTACGCGGGCAGAGCACTGTATCTTAAACTGAAAGCCGCTCATCTGCTGTGGATCAGAGAATTACTGGAGGAAGCCGCGTGGATGCCTTACTGCGGCTACAGCGTGGAGGTCTACGACCAACACGACACTCTTATGAAAACGATCGAAGACTTCGTCGCCGACATATTCCATCAATGGGTGCACCAAGTGGGCGATAATCCTCGAGCACGGCTCGATCGGTTTCTGATGCGACGCAGCATCACGAATTACGGATTGCTCGAGTGCAACATCGATCCGGCCATTTTGAACTTGTGCCGGGAAGCTACCTATTGGGACTACATGAAGTTCGGTCTCCCGGTTCACATTCAGATCGTTTTCGATAAATGGAACAGCCTGTACTTTGCTCTCGAGGGTGTCATCGCTGTGATTATCGGATACAACAAAGCTATTCGAGGTTAGATTCTTGAAAACTAGCAGCTACGGTAACGTAGTTAATCTCTATCGTCTGATCTTTGAATGGAGGTTAGCTCAATTATACTATAAGATCGTTTACGGATTTTCTGAGACTTCCCTGCATCAGGTTTGTTAACTATCGATTATTCAGGTGTTTGCATCGCACAGTTAGCGTCCTCCTCAAGTATTTCAATTACGAAATTCGTGACACGTCTGGTTTGCCCGTTATTAATTTTCCTCGACCTGAAATTCGGAAAATTGGTTCTTCCAAACGTGGTCCCATTAAACTTCCCTCGCAGAGACACGTTTTATAATACCTACAACTCGTGCAATATATCGAGTTAGCAAACTAGCAATGAACCTATCGACTTTTTGCTTTTGCTAGATTTTCTCTGAAACTGTTTTTATATTCTACTATCGAATGCACCTTAGTTCCCTGTCTGATAATAATTAAAAAATGAGAGCAATCGATATTAGGAAAAATGTAGCAACTTCAGAATTCTTTATTTCCCGATACAAATTCAGTTAAGTTGCAGCCACGTGCTCGCACGAGTGCCAAGAAATATTTTGAAGTTTCGAGCATCGAAGCCGGCGCGAAACTTCGGGTTTGTACATCGGGGAAATTGCAAAATAGTTGGCCGAGTACGTTTCCAGGGAAATACCTCGAGCGTTTTCTTGCTCGATTATAACACGCCGCCACGTGTTATTAACCGAAGCAGCAACCACAATTATAAAATATCAAAACTGGGAGGAAAGTTCGCCCTGGTGCTCGGAACAGACACGTTAGAATCTCGATTATACAAACTAATTGGGAGCATGTACTCCCAACCTGTCAGGTTATTTCCCTCTCGTACTTGCTAATTTCTGAAACCGTTGCAAATACGTCCTCCAGAATCATTTTATATCGTGAGAATATAGGAAGCTTGGGTTTACTGGTGTTCACAAATATTCGGGTAAATTGAAATTTCAGAATATAGGTATTTCAAAATATATCCACGTTATTGTATCACTAAATATTAAAGAATTATTAAACGTACGTGTCAGTTGCAGAGTAAAAATTTTAAATTCCATGATTTATATTGTTTTTTATTTCCACTGCGGCGACGCGTTAATCTGCATAAAAATAGCAGTCGGGAAAAATAAAAAGGGTGAAAAGGTTGGCACGAGTGAAATCGGATTGTCGTTGTCAGACGCGTCCCGAACCGATGCGTCCGAAATTATATTTGCTTGTAACTTTCGACGCGATTGTTATTTTTAAAATTGATCCAAACGAAAGCTGCCCCTTTCGATCCCTCGAAAATACTGTACAGATTTACCAACGATTTCGCTTAAAAGTTTCATGTTACCATTTTTATCGAAATGCGCCTGTTCGCGTTTCCAGATAATCGCGTGGTGAATCATGTCGAACGATAATCGTGTCCCGAAAGAAAACTGATATTTTATCTCTTTTTTCCACATTTTTTCAGCATTGTCCGCTACGGAGCGGGATCTGTTCCGTGAGCTAATTCGCCAGGTAGACAGGAAGATCAATCCCGGATTAGGCAGGCTGACATGGAACTCGGAATACGTGGACTCATATATCGAGGATTGCTTGAACCAAACGGCAAATGTACGTCCGTAAGACTCTTAAAAGTTTCGGCTTTGACCTGAAGGTTAAACACCCTGGTGCACAAATATTTCTTACATCCCTTACGATATTTCGTTATTAAAATATATTGATTTTGGGGAGGATATGTGAACTCGTGATGTTCTTTGAATATAATATATGTGATAGGTTGAACTCTCTATGGGTGGTGCTCTTAGAACATTGTATTCCACAGTGGTATTCTCAGTGTACTGTATTACCACACGTGGTATTCTCAGCACACTGTAATCTACATATGCAGTATTCTCAGCGTACCATATTACCACACGTGGTATTCTCAGCGTACTGTAATCTACATATGCAGTATTCTCAGCATACTATATTACCACACGTGGTATTCTCAGCGCACTGTAATCTACATATGCAGTATTCTCAGCGTACTATATTACCACACGTGGTATTCTCAGCGCACTGTAATCTAAATATGCAGTATTCTCAGCGTATTATATTACCACACGGGGTATTCTCAGCGCACTGTAATCTACATATGCAGTATTCTCAGCATACTATATTACCACACGTGGTATTCTCAGCGCACTGTAATCTACATATGCAGTATTCTCAGCGTACCATATTACCACACGTGGTATTCTCAGCGCACTGTAATCTACATATGCAGTATTCTCAACGTACTATATTACCACACGTGGTATTCTCAACGTGCTTTAATCTTCACACGTGCTACTCTCAACACATATTATCTCCCCTCAGCTCTTTAATTTCCACGTCTGTTATTCTCAACACATACCACTCTCATCTTCACCTCTCCTTAATATTTTTGACACATGTACCACACATGAGCCCAACCAATAGAGTACAAAATCGCGATATCCGTACAATTCAGATGCTAAAGTATACCATGACTTATGGATAGGATAGCACAGTTCCGTGGCTATCTTCGTTTAACCGGCACCTATTACACGTCCGTTGGCAAACCTGGTACGCGTACGAACGGAAATTTATGCGGCCGAGTCCGACTGTGTCCTGGCGAAATTAAATTTTGACCCGGTCCAAGTGGGATCCGGTCCCGTAGCCTTTGTTTGTTTAATTAAGCAAGAAGTACGCGTGCCGGCGGAAACCGAATAACAATAGCGGATATCCGGTGCCAGGGTGTTTGCGGCCATTCGTTACCCTGTTCAAATCGACGGAATTCGGCCGCAACCAAGGGCAAAGCTGGACATAGCTACACGCCACGCCGTTTACAAGCTGTGCAATCGTACCGGGTTAGGTTTCCCGGCTTACTTCTGTCTCTGTCTGTTCGTGCAGCTGCAAAACTTCATCGATGTTTACAAGGAATCGAACTCCGAGATTATGAAGATATGCGAGAACATTTGTGGCACCAGCATGATCAAGATCAGACCGAACTACACCTACACCTTGCAGCAATTGAGCGAGGAGTTAATTAAGGGCAGGTTTGTATCGGTTCAATGTAATTAGAGTTTTTGGTTATTTTTCGAATATAGAATAACTTTGTTTTAGGGACGAGGCGTTTGCAGAGCTGAGAGAGAAACATAGACAGATAATTCAACGTATCGTGGTTGTTTACGATGGCTTCAGAAACGTTATAGAGGATGTACGTCTTTCTTGGTATTCTTTTAGGTTCATATTAATCTTTCGCGATTAGTATTGTAAAAGAGAGTAACATCGATGATGTAGACCTTGACGTATAGTTCAAATAGTTGATACTATGGTTGCATTTTAATAATGCTCCGTATAATCTAGCAGGGGTTTTTCTGTCCGCATACCCCGAAACGCGTTAAAATATTCCCAACGACAATCACGGAAACACCATCGCGCCCATGTTCTCCGCGATAAAAATTCTTAACTACTCCAGCCCCCTGCCATAGAAAAGACCCGTCGTTGTTTCGTTGTCTGTCTCCCGACGGTTCCATTCTCAGCCGCTGAACATCGTCCTCGTTGGTTCGCTCGTTTCTGTCTGGATCGGCGACAAAACGGTGTGTAAAGCAGCCGTTCACGAGCTGGAATTCTCGCAAAATGTTCCGTGTTATCCCTGCAGGCTATGCGGAGCAATTTTCGAGCGGAGAAACGTAGACCAGACCGATCCGCGTTACGATACGTCCGCTGCGTGACGTGACTGCCTCTAGGAACGCGTGCCTCCCTTCGTACGAAAACTCCCCTAGAAGGGATTCTAGGCTTCTACCGATTCCGAACGGTGGATTATCGTATTTAGAGTTAGAACACCGATTATTCGAATTTACTCTTTAATGACAGACACTCGAGGAGTGGAAGAACTACTTGAACAGGATAGACGTGCTGATTAGCGAGTCCTTTAGATTATGTATCAGGGGATCCTTGGAGACCCTGTTTAATGCTCTTCACGGGGATGGTACCACACCACCGTCGCCACTCATTTTGGTTCATATTGATCTCGTTGATAATAAGGTACGTGAACCATAGAATCTAATTGTAGTTATGTATAGACTCGCATTAGAATTTCTACGCTTTGTGATCACCACAAACAATTTGTGAATTGTGGCAAAAATGGGTACTGTTACAGATAACTTTCAATCCCGATCTAACAGAGGTCACCACCCTAATGTCGACAGTCTTCGACAACCTCCTGGAACCTGTAAAAAAGCTACGTCGACTAGTATACAAGTTTCGATTGACCTTAAACATTCCTGACTTTTGGAAATATTACGAGACAGATGCAGATCTCCTGAACCTTCAACAGAAACTCAACGATGGTTGTATATTTCAATGAATTTTTGTCGCATGTCGTGTTGATGATTGACAATTTCAGAGGTGAATTATTGCTTCCTTCAAGTGCAAAGTTATCTGAAGTCCTGGGAACCCTTTCAGGAAGTGTGGGAGGTTAACCGAGAAATGTTTCTGCAGAGGTAATTAAGAGACACGGTGTAATTATGGGACTTTGAACATGAGTTGCATTTTTGTCGCTTTAGGTACGAGAAGCTGAAACCGTCGGCACAGTCTTTCGACTCAGACATCGTTAGGTACTTGATAATCGCCAATAACGTCCAAGCACAGGACACGGTGATGACCGTGCACTTTCTGGACGTGAATGCGGATGGATTGAAGGGAGCCATTGTGGAAGAGTGTTATATCTGGCAACAGAAATTGATGGCACTTTTATTGAAGCAAACGGAGAACATGATGAACCACGTTTATCACTACATTGCTGAAAACTCGAAGAAGTAATTATTCAATCATGGTGCCTGATGACTATTCGACAATATGACGAGTACTTAGGGATATCACCAATCATCTAAAATTGATTTGTTCAGAATCCAGAAGGAGCCTACGGATCTGGTCAGCATGCAATATTCGATGCAGTTATACCAGAAACTGGTCGCCGAGATCCCTCAGGAGGAAGCAGAGTTCCCCAAAATCCAGGAGCAATACGAGACTTTGCGTAAGGTTTTCAAGAAAACTTGAATAGTCCTTCAACTAATTTGTTTCGATACGCAGAAAAATACGAGGTGCCCATGTCGTTCGACTTTAGAAGAAAGTTACATGACATTCCACCTGCCTGGAAGGCCTATTTGGAGGTGCTTCGAACGTCCGAAGAAATGCTGCTGGAAAAGAAGGCAAGCACTGCTATGATCCTCACTGCTATGCACCTTTCCATGATCCATCTAACAGCAGTGCTTACATTCGTTATTTGTAATAATCACTGATTCTTCAGGAAGAGTTCAAGAAGATACTACTGGATGACACGTCGATGTTCAAAGATGAGGTGACAGCACTGGTTGCCAAGTTTGCTGACACTGGTCCATTTACGTCAGATTGGATTGCCAAAGGTGAACATTGTAATTGAATAGCAGTTTAAGACTTTGGTATGGGTATAGAAAATTGAGGTACATGGATAGACATAAGGAGTTTGGTTTTACGGAGACTTGAATGTATAGCAATTTGGAGATGCGTCTTTGAAGGTGGAATATCCCTGTAATAGACCATAAATTTCTAAAGTAAACTTGAATTTGTGCAGATGCATTCTCCTGGTTAGCACACTTCCGTCGAGAAATCACGTCCCTGAGAAAGAGGGAGAGTAATCTGAAGATGCAATTGGCGTTGTTTGGCATTACTCACCCCGACTACGCCGAATTTAAAGATCTGGAAAAGGTAATTGTACTCCTTGGTCTCTTAACGAACTCATCAAGGTCCTTTCCAGGACGTCAACGCAATCGAGCTGGTGTGGGAGGTCACTAACGAATGGAACCAAGCATGGGAGAGATACAGAACAGAGAACTTTTGGGAGATCGAGATGGAAGATATGGAGAACACTGCGAATGTGCTCTTTAGAAAGCTGAACCGGCTTTGTAGAGAACTTAAAGAAAAGAATTGGGAGATTGTTGAGCACTCGAGGTAATTAAATTTTACCGTTCTAAAAGACCATGCGTTAATAACAAGGATCTTTTAGAACGCGTGTGGACCAGTTTAGACGTACCCTTCCTTTGATCACCGATCTGAAGAACCCAGCAATGAGGCCACGGCATTGGAGAAGGGTCAAAGATACCGTCGATCGCGAATTCGACGAGACGTCGGAAGAGTTCACCCTGGAGGCCATCGCTGAAATGCAGTTACAGAACTTCGCTGAGCAAATTAACGAAATTTCGTATTCGGCTACAATGGAACTTGCTATCGACATTGTAAGAATGCAACACCGACGAGTACCATGACAATGATACATCGCCATTTTTAGGGACTGCAAAACATTAGCAAGGTCTGGGCCAACATGCCATTAGAAATGGTACCTTACAAGGACAAAGGAATATACGCGCTAAGAAGCATAGAAGAGATAGTACAAGTACTCGAAGAACACCAGACGCAACTTTCTGCCATGAAGACGACAAGGTTTTATAGCTTTATGTAAAAAATAAAGAATGGCATAATGTAGTTTGTGAACCGTTTGCAGATTCGTTGAACCCTTCGCAGCGGAAGTCGATTATTGGGAACGGACGTTGTCAACCATAAACGAGATCCTAGAACAGACTCTGCTGATTCAACGAGGATACATGTACATGGACAATATATTCACCACGGAAGACATCAGGAAACAATTACCCAAAGAAACCGACCAATATGATAAATTGACAAAACTGTGGACCGAAATCACTTCGCGAATGGCGAAAGCTAGATTGGCTCTGAAAGCTACGCACGAACCACGTAGGTACCATCGTAGAAAAATATGGGGAGGACGTTTTTTAACGGATATATCGAAGGACAAAAAGTTCCGTTTATAGTTTATTCAGCCCGGAGTAGATGAAAAGTTCTAGTACATTTTTTGGGAAACCAATACGAAGGAAAATCGTTCTTCGGGCGTTACATCACCACGCGTTATATTGCTACACATGGGTTCAAGTGTCGTGTTATCACATCGAGTTATCATATGCCAAATTACCACGTGCTGAATTACCACGCGTTGAATTACTACGCGTTGAATTACTATGCACCACACATTGAATTATCCCGCTTTGAGCTTCTACGCGTTCAATTAACACGTGTCAAATTATTACGTTGTGAACCTTTTAACACTCGTTGAATTACCATTGAACTACCACGCGTGTTCTCCGCATATCATATTCCTCGCACGTTGTATCCACAAATGTACCATACAACATGTGGTATCCTGCATATGTTGTCCTCCCGTTATATCACCGCGCGTTATATTCTCTACGCGTACAGAGTCCACATCTGTTAAATCCTCCCTTATCGTTACCAATCGGACAACACTCCACATTCATAAAAAAAAAGATTTCATCGTTCACCCAATAAAAGTCCCATAAGACTCTCGTAAAAACAAAAGCATACCTCTCAGAAATCATCAAAACATACGGCACGCGTAATGCATTGTAATTTAGCGGGCGGGGACAGGTTGGTCGTAATATCCGAGCGATTGCAGCATAAAGTAAAGGAGAAAAAGGAAAGAGAAATATGCAGTGCAGCGTCGGCGTCGACGATGGCGGCTCGAAGCAGAAAAAAAGAACCGCCGCTACGGGGTGGCTCTATAAAATAATGTAAATCCAGTCTACAGGAAGCGCTTGCACGTTTTTTTTCTCCGTCCTGCCTCAATTTCTGTCCGTGCTTGCAGCCGGCCTGCTCGAAGTTCTGAATAAAATCAGCGAGAAACTGGAATGGATGCAACGATCTTTGGAACAATATCTCGAGACGAAGCGACACGTGTTTCCTAGATTTTATTTTATTTCTAACGACGATCTCTTGGAGATACTGGCCAACGCGAGAAGGCCGGAACTGATACAGCCTCACATCAAGAAGCTGTTCGAGAATATCAAATCTCTGAATTTGAGCAAGGTTAATAAAAAGAAGTAACAGGTTTTGCGCTACATTGCTTAAATTAATTTTTGATATCAAACAGACTGCAGCTGGGAAAAACCTAGCCGTGGGGATGTTCTCCAATGAGGGAGAGTACGTGGACTTCAGTCAACTGGTGCAGCTCGAGGGACAAGTTGAAAAATGGCTGTGCAACATTGGCAAGTCTCTCTTGAAAATTTTGTCCGTAGATATTAATTAACGTTCTCCAACCGGTGCGTTAACTCCCTAAATACGTTCGTTAACATAAAGCCAAACGAGGCTAATTCACAGTCGACTTTGGCGCTAAAGGATAGAGCTAAATTACACCATTTGCTGCTACCGAAAAGGAAAAAAAGCCCCGCGACTAACGAAATATTTCATACTGAAACACGTTCTCTTCATCCCCGTCGAAAATCCGATTTGACCAGGTACGAGCCTCGTATCCGGCTCTAGAAAAAAATGGGCTAGTAGGTGGGGGTTAACCATGGCGTTTCATTTCGACGCTTTTATCCGCCGCTCTAAAGGGTCCATCCGGTAACAATTTTTCCCAAAAAGGATACAATTTGCTCGTCGTAGTTGCGAGCGACGACGAGTCGCTAGATAAGGGTAAATGGCAACGTAACACGACGATGAAAAAAAAACGAATAAATTGGTCGCTTGTCACAATTGCAGAAACCGCGATGAGAGACAGTCTGCGCGAGGTGCTGCGACTGTGTCGAACCGCCCTTCGAAAAATGACCGCGAAACGCGACAGGTGGGTGAAAGAGTGGCCCAGCCAACCAGGAATTACGTCCACTCAGATACAGTGGACGGCAGACTGCACCCGCACCCTCCTGCACTGCAAGTGAGCTATGTAGTACGAAAATTTAGCGACGTTAGTTACCGCCACGGAGCCACTGGTAGGGAAACACGGAGGGATGAAACAGAGAACGCGCTAACTACGAGGGTGGCAGCCGAGTAACAGAAAACTAAATCTAGTAAACCGGTGTGAAGGGCGCTGTTGGAGACTAGGGTGGGAAGGGGTGAAGATGCAAACGGTTGCACTGCAGAAAGTGAGAGCCGTTTTACATTAGATGGGGTGCAAATACTGTCCCGCTCACAAGTTGTTGCTACCAGGTGTTTTATTGCCACGGTGACACATTATTATAACGCGACTAAACATTCTCGTGTCAAGTTATGACGCGCACTACCGAGTTATGTGTCGAACTACCACGTACCACACCTTCATATACGCTGAATTACTCTGCTCCGAGTTATCAACAATTACTACGTTCCTAATTAACACCTGTAGACTTACTAAGCCTTATAATGCCACTAGTTTCTAACATTAAACATCGCAGCGCACCGCGGCTCGTTATATGGCCACCGAACGTATTTGCATGCTGCGTTACGATGCGTTATATCGCCACTCACAGTATATACTGTACGTACTTTACAGCATTTTATAGGAGAGATAAATTTGCAGAAAGATACGGTTTGGTAGGTTCTTGTGAGGCAAACTGTAACTCTAATAAGGGGAATTTTGCATATTCCGGGTCTGGTGCTGCGATCCAGCCGCACCGCCCACGGTATGCACCCTTCCTTCCCTCGTTTGCATATACTAGCCGTACTGCGAATAATTTAACCCCCTCCATCCCTCTGTGTCCCTACCCAGCTCGTAGAAAATCCTCTCCGTCCCGGGACCCTGGTTCTAACGTTCGTGTTACGGTTAAAGAGGTGTAGCCTGTGTGCACCCTACGCTCGAAACATGTCTCCCTCTCGCCTGCATACCGTTCGCGTAAGTGGAAAAGAAATAAAAGGGATACAGAGGTGTCGGATAAAGAGGCTGATTATCCTAGCGAGAGGTAATGGCTGGAGAGCAGTGGAAAGAATTCCTATTGCTGCACTTTGGCCGCGGAACGAGCGAACTAAACGTCTAGGGTGGGATAAGTGGAGGGTGTAATGTTTGAAGCTTCAAGATAATCTCGTTTTTTTCTTCTCCTTTCTCCCCGAGCTCAGGGATAATTAAGGGTGCACTTTCAAGTATCCGAAATTTTTTTCTTCCCGATGAAGTAGATTTACCTCGTATTTTAATTATTTTAAAAATGTTATAACGTGACGAGGGTACATAATTTTTCGCAAACTTTTGACTTGGTCATTCCCTACGGGAAGGAGTCTTTAACGACAGATTTAAAGGTTGGTAGATACGAGGAGGCCATTGAAGAAGCTGAGAAAGCGACAGAATCAGGCGTTGAACAAGTACTCGGAGGCGATCAGAGGCGACTTGACTCGATTAGATCGATTGAAGTTCAAGGCCATCGTGGTGATCGAGATACACGCGCGAGACGTCATCGAGACGATGTATCGAGCAAGTAAGTCATCCAATTAGTCGGTTCAGAGCTACCTCTCTATCGACTGAATTAAGGAACTGAAATGGCGAAGGATGTAAATGTTACTCGTCAGTTCGCCAACGTTAAATTATGGATTTTATGGGATTTAATCGGACATTTGGGGAGTTGCGACGTTAGAACAACGGGTAACGGTTATTGGGTTGGCTAACCTCGTCCCCCGATGTCCCTCGTAAATTCATCTCCCGTATTCGGTCGAAAATAGATAAATGACCAGATAGATACGGGGCCGGCGTGTATTATCCTTGTAACCGTGGAAACAATTTGCCCCGGATGACCGGCAAACATTGCTAAGTGAACAGGTGCAATGTTTGCCGATCGCGCTGTTTGGCAAATTCGTGCGTCACCGATTTGTCCAGCCAATTAATGCGATTCCGTGAATTAAACTAATAGATGGAAGCTGAATTTCCATGATTCGTTGTGTAGCGACGCAACCGGGGATTACCAATGCGATCGACAAGCGATCAGATTGAATCCGAACGATCCGAAATATCTTCTTTATTACGTTTTACTCCGCTATCGATCATAGAATACAGTTTGCCGGAGTTCTATAGGTACAGGGATAAGATAATTCGTCTCGTTCCAGACTGTAAAGACGTGTCAGCCTTCGAGTGGCTGTCGCAGCTGCGGTTTTACTGGGACAAAGACATCGACGACTGTATTGTCTGGCAAACGAATACGTATTTCGTGTACGGGTACGAGTACCTGGGAAATACTGGTCGTTTAGTGATTACGCCTCTCACGGATCGGTAAGACATTTTCTGCGATAAAATAATTCGCTTGTTACGTAATTAACTTGTTGTAGAATATGGGGGTTTATAGTATCTAAATTCGATGCGATTTTACGATAGAAAGGAGGTCACTCGCAAAGGCAATCCTCGATGGAATTGCTCGAATAGTTGGATAGCATGTTACAGGGTCGATTATGCGAGTTAATTAGGTCAAAGGTCACGACAATTATTAGCTTCACCGCTTACTATTAGAACCAATCGCGCAGCCAACCGTCGAAATATTAACTTCATTACTATTAATGAAATAAACCATACGCGACGCCTAACTGCAATTCGATGCTAAATTGCTTGTAATTTCAACCCCTTCGTCTGAAATCATAATGAACTGCAACCTGGTATGGCAATCAAGATCAAATGTCAACGAGTTTGTCGACGAAGACGTTTATTAACGTTGATTAACAGTTACTTAACCCTTTCGCTAACAACGCATATCGTCTCCGAAGAATAGTCTTGGGTAAATATATTTGTAGGACCATATCGAAATAAATTAAGATCCGAGCAGCTCCCGAATACTATTCAAAATAATTAAATAGTTGTACTAACTTATGGAGCGATTTTAAACGATTTTTTCTGCGAAACGACTTCCAATCTCGTAATCCTCTATGAAAGGAATTCATGGAGTCGAACATCGAGCATTTTAATCCGTTTTCGGTAGAATGAATCGATACCGGAAGGGTGGGTTACGACATATTACGTCGAGGAATCGGGCTTCTAGGAAGTCGTCGCGTTCTTCTTTTTCACCCCAAGACAAATTCTCGAAGGGTAACAAATGTATCGGGACGGCCTCCATGTCTGTCCATAAATTAGATCGGGTTGCTGGCCTTTTATCGCGATTAAATCGATAAGTATCGTGAAGGAACGGCGATGGTATCGTTCGCTCGCCTTAATACTTTACTGGTCAAAGTATGTTTAGCCTCGAAAGCGGTTACAAGATTGTATCGCGCTCTAACTGCTGAGTATTACGTGCTCCTGTATGCGCTATAATCACCTCGGTACAAGCAAAATTGCGTTTACCGATCGGTCGGATTTTACGGGGCTTAGGTACCGAACTAGTTTGCTTTCGCTGTCTAATCCTTTCTGTTAATTGGGAAAGAGCTATTAGGCATATAAAACAACCGACTTGAAAGTTTCAAATAATAAAAAGCAACGTATGACTCGAAGTTTAAAACTTCAGTCATACTTAACAAAGGGAAAAAAACGTCAGCTGCAAAAAGCATGCATGAGCGATCGCCTGTCTACGCTTCGCGTATCCACGATAAAATACCTGCTGAAGCAAGCAATAAGTACATTATCAAGTTTCAACGATCGTCTATCATGCAGAATACACAAAGGTGGTAGGGTCAAGTTATCCTTCAATAGTAATTTGATTTGAACGATAGATGCTACATAACGCTGACCACAGCCCTACACCTTTATCGGGGAGGCAGTCCCAAGGGACCAGCTGGTACAGGGAAAACCGAGACGGTAAAGGATCTCGGGAAGGCCTTGGGCTTCAACGTGATCGTCCAGAACTGTTCCGAGGGACTCGATTACAAGAGCATGGGGAAATTGTTCTCTGGATTGTCGCAGACTGGCGCATGGGGCTGTTTCGACGAATTTAATCGGTAATATCAAATATTAATATCAATTGCATCAGTTAGAAAAAGATATGTAAAAAAATGTCAGTGTTAGAGTGTTTAGGTATTTGAACGTCTTGATATTTTGCTATCTACGAACCTAACAATCTATCAAATGACCTAGGTGAAAAATTAAAGTATCTATAATCGAAACTATACGATCTTCCTAATAAAAATCGGATTATTCATGTGACAATAGAATCAACATCGAGGTACTATCGGTGGTGGCGCAACAGATACTGTCGATCCTCACCGCTCTCTCGCAAAAGCTCACCAGATTCGTGTTCGAGGGTTGCGAAATCTCTCTGGTGCACACCTGCGGCATCTTCATCACGATGAATCCCGGCTACGCAGGCCGTACCGAACTTCCGGACAATCTGAAATCCATGTTCAGGCCAATCTCGATGATGGTGCCGGACAGTAGCATGATCGCCGAGATCAATTTGTTCGGCGAGGGATTTGGGAACACCCGTGTTCTCGCAAGAAAGGTTATTACGATTAATGCACCTTAGATTATGACACGTGCCAATCAAACTGACGTTCGAATCGTTCGATAGGTGTTCACTTTGTACACGTTAGCTCAGCAACAGCTCAGCAAACAGTATCACTATGATTTTGGGTTGAGAGGTATAGTCACGTTGACTAGATACGCTGGAAAGAAGAAGAGACTTTATCCTGATCTACCTGATGAAGAGGTGAAACTTTTTATATTTTGATAGCAATAAATGGCACCGTTCATAGATGTTTCAAAATTAATGTAAATTACTAATTGGCAAGTTATCGTAAGTGCAAGTACTTAAAACTTAACACGCAGGTGATCATCCTCGCAATGAAAGATATGAACATCGCAAAACTCACCTCGGACGACCTGCCGTTGTTCCTCGGTATCACCAGCGACCTCTTTCCGGACGTGGAAGTGCCGACGGTGGATTACGATGAAATTATCAGCTACATAACCAAGGAGACGATCAGGTTAAAGCTGCAGGTAATCTCGAACAGGAAGGCGGTCGTGAACGAACGATATCCTCCCCCGCCTTTTTTTCACAGCCTCGTCCGTTTTAATAGAGAATCAGGTCTATCGATCGGGAAAGCACAGAGCCGGAAAACCATCCTTGTAAATTTCAGCGGATGCATATTGAATGCCGATAATCCGAGCGCGAGAATTCGTGCCGCGTGAAATTCAATCGAGTTTATTATCGTGGTCGCGGGATTGTTAATGATCTCAATGTCCCGTGAAATCTTGTTCGTCCGGTAGAATTTCGTTTCGACAAGAATCTACGGGGAAGATAGGGTTAACGTCGCGAGACACGAGCAATTCGATTAATTCGGATTAACAAGAGTGCGTCGTAAAACTCGGCAACATTTTGTCGACAGCTTCACATTTTTTCCATGTATGTTTCAAAATTATTATACAGTTTTGGAAGATGTCGCCATAGAAAGTCTTTAGAGAAAATTCATAAAATATCCAGAAAGAGTACAAGGAGATATAAGAACCTTGAAAAAGAAACCCAAAGAGAAATCCAGAGACGATAATTCAGAGATTAAATTTGTGAAAGAACCTCTGGAAAATTCAAAGCGTAAAACTTGCGGAGAAAACCCTTAAAAAAGTTGAGGGAAAAAACTTACGGGTCCAAAGAAACCCCAGAAAAATTTCGAATATAAGCACCCGAACTGAAACTCTACACTTTCCCATAGAATCCATATGCGTTGAAACGCGATAAAATAAAAATACCGTATATTTCATTTTGACCCTGTATGACTAAAATTCGTGTAACGCGAAATGATCGAAATGATAATTAAATTAAAACTTCAAAGGCGCGAAATATCGAAGGGCATTGTTAACGTCGTTACGTGAGACCACATGAATTTTCACGTAGCAATTTACAATTTCATGTGATTTGTAGCCAATTCCGATGATAGTGACGAAAGTGATCGAACTGTACGAGACGAAGAATTCGAGGCACTCGTCGATGATCGTCGGCGAATCGAACACGGCGAAAACAGCCACGTGGAAGGTGTTGCAGGCCACGATGAACAGCATGAGGAGCGACAAGAAAGCTGGCTTCAATTTCGTTTACGTGTACCCCATTAATCCGAAAGCGTTGAGCCTTGGTGAACTTTATGGGGAGTACAATCTTTCTACCGGAGAATGGCATGACGGAGTCATATCGTCGATCATGCGGAAAACCTGTTCCGGTATCCTCCATTCTGTATCCGTTTCTCCTTTTTTTCGCGAAACGGTTGGTCGAATGAAATGGGCTACGTTGAAAGAATCTTTTTTTTGATAGAGGAAAGCCCTGACGAGAAATGGATTCTCTTTGACGGACCCGTGGACGCGGACTGGATCGAAAATATGAACAGCGTAATGGACGATAACAAAGTAAAATTTCCTTTAGATTTTTCAAATAAATTTTTTAAATTATTCGATTAAGTTTGCCGTACGTTTTATTCCATTATATCAATAATTCGATTCGGATCCTTTTACGCCGAGTTACTTATTTAAATTCGACGAATGGATATTTTTTTGTCGAATAAAATTCTGTGAAACCACCTCAAGTGTGGTTTTGGGTCCCCTAACACCCCCTTACCCATCGAGGCCCCATTCTTGGTACATCCTTAGAACGATGTTAACATACAAGACTCGACGGTATTCTTAATCCCCCATTTCCTACACCACCAACAAGAACAATTCCTCGAAATTGCAGCTTTTGACGCTAATAAATAACGACCGAATCACCATGCCGGATCAAGTGTCCTTATTATTCGAAGTTCAGGACCTCGCCGTCGCTTCACCAGCCACGGTTTCCCGTGCAGGCATGGTGTACAACGACTACAAGGACCTCGGCTGGAGACCATACGTGTATTGTTGGCTGCAGAAATACCAGAACAAAGCAGAATACGTAGAAGAGGTAGAATATAAACAGTTCTTATCGATAAAAAAATATCGAATGATAAAAATAACATGTAACAGATGAGAAAACTGTTCGAGGAATACGTGGATCCCACTCTCGAGTTCAAACGATTGAAATGCGAAGAATTGATCCCAGTACCTCAATTGAATGCTGTTCAATCTCTCTGCAAGCTTCTCGAAGTGCTAGCAACCAGTCAAAATGGCGTTGAATTCGTGGGAGACAGAGACGTGTTCAACAGCATCTGCAAGCTGTGGTTCTTCTTCTGGTATTTTATCCCAACGACCCTATTTTGTATCCTGAATTATAGATCAGCAAGAAACCAGGAATTTTTCCTGCAGCATGTTGTGGTCGCTGTGTGGATCAGTCAACGAAGAGGGTCGATTCAGGGTGGACGGCTACATGAGGGAGATCGAGGGTTCTTACCCTCTTCGTGACACCGTCTACGAATATTTCGTAGACTCCCGTTTGCGCACGTTCGTTTCATGGGAAGAGAAATTGCCGCAAGTTTGGAAAATTCAACCTGGGTACTTTTATAGAATTTTCTAAGTGACGCTTCTTATATTTAAACCTGCTATAATAATGACCATGCATGGCACAATAGTTTAAATTCCTATCCTTGCCACCTAATTACAGCACCCCGTTTTATAAAATAATCGTGCCAACGGTGGACACGGTTCGTTACGAATTCATCGTGAACTCCTTGCTGAGAAACGAATTCCCCGTCATGGTGGTGGGTCCTGTAGGCACAGGGAAGACGTCGGTGTTGCAATCGGTTCTCGATTCTTTAAACATGGAGAAGTATAGCGTGCTCACGCTGAACATGTCTGCTCAGACTACCTCGAAGAACGTGCAGGTAAGTTCGAATTACTTGGTTAATCTAAGAACGCAAACGAGAATTAATGCATTTAAAATACCATGTGTTAGTATTTGCATAAAAAGGTTCAGGAGTGTGCATATTTTAGGACACGGTCGAAAGCAGGATGGAGAAACGTATGAAAGGGGTGTACATCCCCATAGGCGGTAAAATCTTGATCGCGTTCATGGATGACTTCAATATGCCCATGAAAGAAATTTATGGGTCACAACCGCCTTTAGAACTGATTCGACAATTGATAGGATACGGATTCTGGTAATATCTGCTGATTTTTATCCGAGATAAATTTATTTTGTTCTCTTCTGGTGCTCCTTCCACTAGTTTTAATCCTCTTTTCCCATGGAGTACCTTATCAATTTTTCGAGTACATGAAATTATCAATTACGGGACCTTTATAATGAAGTCCCTCTCATGAGATATTAACAAGGTTCAAAACTTTATTTCGGTAAATTTTTCGACATGTTTTAAACTATCCATTAGAGTTTAAAACGTAAGTTTGTTACCGAAGTTGAGAAATCCCAAACTGAAAGCATACTGTATACATATTTCACTGTCCAAATGAAATTCTACAATGAACTAAAGGAAAATTTCAACTATTTAACGTGTATTACGAAGGTACGATCGTGAGAAGCAAATCAGGAAATACTTGCAAAGGGTGCAGCTGATGGCAGCGATGGGTCCCCCCGGCGGTGGTCGCAACGTTATCACCAATCGATTGCTCACGAAGTTCAATGTTATCAATATGACGTTCCCTGTCGAGAAGCAAATCATAAGAATCTATGGCACAATGTTGGAACAACATATCGGAGAATTTCACGCTGAAGTCAAAGGGATTTGTTAGTAAAATCTCCAACTGTTATATTGACTCATAAATGTATAAAAGTAATAAATTGTGCTGCACATTTAGCAAACGAAATAACTCAGTCTACCATTGGCATGTACAATAAAGTAATTCACACGATGTTACCTACACCAGCGAAGATGCATTATTTATTCAATCTGAGGGACATCTCGAAGGTAAATCAACTTGAAGCTTAAATTTTATTGTCCTCCGTCATCGATACTTTTATGCAGGTATTTCAAGGACTACTTCGAAGTCACAAAGATTACCAGTATTCCAGACAAACCTTCCTTCGTCTATGGGTACACGAGGCGTTCCGAGTATTCTGCGATCGACTGATCGGCGAAAAGTGAGTTGATTAAAACTTGTTTAGAGCACAAAAGCTCTCAGAGACTGATACAAACTTTACCTTCAGAGATAGAGAGTGGTTCGTCGAGCAAATCAATGATCAACTTGGAAAGCACTTCGAGCTAACCTTCCACAACATCTGCCCTGAGAAAAGAAGCCCTGTGTTTGGTAAAAGAAGCTCTTACATTGTCATTTCTTGTTTTATCGATTTTCGATCGTATCCGGTTTATTCTCGACTTTAGATATACTAGTTTACTAGTAAAATTGACCATGATAATCTGGATTATAGCGATACTACTGCTATCAATAGCTGGGATACTAGAAGAATATTTCAACAACCACTCTACCACCTACACTAATATTTCTCCTCGTTATCCATCGCTTCTAGCGGTGTAGCCTCGACTTTTACCGATTAATGAAATACAAGATGGACCTAATTGAAATAAAATATTCGTAGGCAGTTTTATGAACGCCTGGGACATATACGAGGACCTCACCGATCTGGCCGCCGTGAGGACTCACATAGAAAAGCAAATGGACGATTATAACGCATCGACGGGCGTGGTTCGCCTGAACCTAATTCTGTTTCGCGATGCGATCGAGCACATTTGTCGTATCGTTCGCGTGATATCTCAGGTTTGTTGTCGGATTAATAGCCGACTTATCATTACTTCATGGACGCTAAAAACTGATAAATCTTTACAGCCCCGAGGTAATATGTTGCTGGTAGGCGTTGGTGGAAGCGGAAGACAATCGTTATCTCGCATCTCCAGCTACATGTGCGAGTTAGGCATCTTTCAAATTTCCATCACGAAACAGTATAGACTAGCGGAGTTTCGCGAGGACTTGAAAACGCTGTACATGAGGACCGGAGTGGACGGGAAACCCTGCACGTTCCTTTTCAACGACACGCAAGTGGTGGAGGAACAGATGCTGGAAATCGTTAACAACATGCTGAGCACGGGAGAAGTAACCAATTTGTACAAGTCTGACGAGATGGAAGACGTAAGTCGGAAGATGTTCGACAGGCAAAACTGATAAATATTTGTTCTTTTCTTACAAGACTGTTGCCAAAGCAATTGCTTCGAAATTCTCAAATATTCGCAACAGAGTTTAAGTTCGTATCTAGCGCAAATATAAATCGCGAGAATAAGACCGAGTCGTATTTAGCACAGCGTTCCATTCTAATCCGTTCGCGACCACGATATTTTCCAATAGCGGAAGATCAAATGGTAGCTCGCTGTCTTTTGTGCAGATTAAAAGAAAACTGATGAAGGAGGCAACGAAGGCTGGACGTGTACCAACAACGGAAGCGATCTATTCGCTGTTGATCGAGCGGGCGCGTGCCAATATGCATTTGGTCCTGTGCATGAGCCCGATCGGGGACGCGTTCAGGAACAGATTACGGCAGTACCCGGCCCTGATCAACTGTACGACCATCGATTGGTTCCTGGAATGGCCGAGGGAAGCTCTCCTCGAAGTTGGCAACAAGTTCCTCATGAATCTCAATCTGACGCTCACTATCACCGGCGAAAATAAAGTGGTTTGGTCTTCGGCTCGTCTTCCTTCCCCAGCCCGTTTCCAGGCGATCGATCCCATTCGATTCCGATTTCCAAGGATCGAGACTCGACCCGTCGTTCCTCAGGAACGGAGAAAGAGAGAGACCGCCGGCTCTCTCCATTTCGCGGAATCCGATTATTTTCCTCTCCACGGAAACGTTCTCCTCGCGCGGATGATACGCCTCCCCGTCTGGCACGTTTCCGTCCAGGAAACGCAATCGTCCGAGCACTTCCGGTTCGAGCAGACGCTTAATATTTTGGAATTTGTATCGTGCACTCGGAAGATTGAACTGGCAAGAGGAATCGACCTCTCTTGTTTCTTTCTTATTTCCGATTCTTGTCGAACGAATCTGCGTATCGATCGTCCAGGAAGACGCTTTGGCACCGTTAATGATGCCAGAATTTCTGCTGAGAGAAGAAAATTCGTTTACAGGAACCTCGACAATCCGCCAGCGCGCTGCCGTTGCTGCCTCTTCAGGAACGAATGCGCGACGGAATCGCGGCGACTTTTTCTTTGATACACGAAACCGTGTCGCGGTATTCTGGCAAAATGATCGCGGAGTTGAAACGATACAATTATGTCACACCCACCAATTTCCTGGAATTGGTCGCAGGTTACAAAACGTGAGTGGAGATACTTGCTTCTCAAATTGGGCTTATCGTGTTACGTAAACATTCTACAAACACGTTCCGATTGTTCGGAAATATGGCTGAAATTTTATGAGGAAAAACGTTTTTGAACGAAACCCGGTATAAGTATCAAGAACGACATGTCAGTGTCAACGAAGTAGTAGGAACGACGTCGACGATCCTCGTTTTCAGAATGTTGGAGGAGAAAAGGCTGGATTTGGCGAGCCAGGCGAACAAACTTCGCAACGGTCTCTCCAAGATCGACGACACTCGTGTTAAAGTGAACGAAATGGCTGCGGAGCTGGAAATCACACAGGAACAGGTTCATAAATCTACCAGAGAATGCGAGGAGTTCCTCGTAACGATAGGTACCCGTCACATTCTGACGCTGATGTATCGTTATTAGTTACAATTGTAATCCATCCATAAGTTACCACGAAATTTGATCTCCGTTACGTAAGATGCTCGAATTTTAAGAAGTGCAACATCAGGAAATATGATCGAGTTTACGATTATTTTCATTTTTGTGTACGTTTTGCAGTGAACCAAACACGAGACGCTGACGAGGCACAGAAAACTGTAGCCGCGAGATCACTTCGGATAGGAGAGGAACAAAAAGAATGTAAAAAGCTCGAAGAACTCGCCAGAGCTGACCTCGCCACTGTCGAGCCTGCCTTAAACGAGGCCATGAAGGTACATATCTTCCTAGCAGTTCTCATCTATAAAAGATAAAATACCAGAGAAGAGCAAATAGAAATACTGATTTTAAATATGCAAAGTGTATAAATAGGTAGGAATACATTTTGATCAACACCGCAGTCGGTTCCGATCGTATCCTCCGCTATATACATATAACCCCCTGTGCTATCCTCGATTTCGGATTTCATCCATATGTATAGTCCAATTTATCCGTCCCGAGCTCTCGAAGAGCTTCGTATTTCACCGGTGCGATTGTTACCCGTGACACAGGCCCTGGATGCGCTCAGCAAGAAGGACATCTCGGAGATAAGGTCTTTCACGCGTCCGCCGCCGAAAGTCGAGATGGTAATGGAGGCGGTGATGATCCTGAAGAACTCGGAACCGAGTTGGGCGGAGTCGAAGCGACAACTCGCCGACGTGAACTTCCTGAACTCGGTAAAGGGAAATATATACATATATATAGTATATGAGGTGAAACCGTCTTTCTGCGCCGTATTTCTCACAGGTACTTTTCGGTAACGTTGCCACCCGATTTTTCAGCTACGCTACTTCGACAAAGACCACATATCCGATCGGACGCTCAGAGCCATTTCCAGATACACGTCGAACCCGGAGTTCGAGCCGGAGAAGGTCGGCGTGGTGTCGTTCGCCGCGAAATCGTTGTGCATGTGGGTCATAGCCATGGAGAAATACGGCAAGCTGTACAGGTAATTCGAGTTCGACGATAAATGTCCCGAACGGTTCCTCTTTTCCGGCTGAAAAAAGAAGCAGTCGAACTGGCTCCTTTGAATCGCAGGATCGTTGCACCCAAGAGAGAGAAGCTGGAGGCTGCGCTGGAGTCTCTCAGGCAGAAAGAAGCTGCGCTTCAGGAAGCGATGCAGCAGTTGCAAAAGTTACGGGAGAAGCTGGAGCAACTACAGCAGATGTATGACTCGAAGATGAGCGAAAAGGACGAGTTAATTAAACTGGCAAGTATTACGATGCTCGCGACTCGTCTTCGAAAGCCTCCGAGAGTAAACGATCCGAACGACGCACGGTTTCGTTCGAACAAACGCGCGTTTTATCGAAAAAGAGGAAGGTTTCGTTTACCTGATATTGCTGACATATCGAAACCGTATCCTGTTTTCCGAAACTGTATTCAATAAAAGTTTTCGAATTTCTTTTGGACATCGATAGGGAAGCCACGTATTTACGTTGCCTGTTTGTGGTGTTCGTAGTTTTTGAGCTTGAGTTTCGTACGATTCTGGTTTTTTAACAAACTCACCGAACAATAAAAAGCTGCCTTCGAACGGATGAAATGAGTGTAAACGTTAATGGATCGACTCGTTCCGATAACAGCTCGCATTTTCAGGCGGAACTGTTAAAATTGAAGCTAGAGAGAGCCGGAATGTTGGTGGACGGTCTTTCGGGCGAACGAATTCGATGGGAAAACACGGTCGCGTCGTTGACCACGTTTTTCGATTGGTTACCAGGTGACTGCTTAATATCCACAGCGTTCGTGTCCTATTTGGGCCCGTTCGTTTCCAATTACAGGGAAGAGCTGATAACCATGTGGATGAAGGAGGTGAGTCGGCGCTATCGCTTTAATCGGGTAATAATCGTAATTCACTAGTGTCATGTTCTTTCGAGATCATAATTCTTCGATGGTTTATACCGGACGTATATTCGGTTTATACCGAGCCGATCGTGTCGTTCCTTATCTGTGTGCTGCGGATGCAAATTTTCAGGTGGAGAACAAAGAAATTCCGACTTCTCCGGACCTGAACGTGATAGAGTTTCTGGCCGATCCGGCGGTCATCAGGGACTGGAACATGCTTGGTTTGCCATCCGACGATTTCAGCACCGAAAACGGCATCATCGTTACCAAAGGGACCCGATGGCCCCTGGTGATCGATCCACAGTGTCAGGCAGTGAAGTGGATCAAGAATATGGAGGCCAAAAACGTACGTATACTCGATTGCCGAAACAAAGACGAATTCGGTGAACGTATATCGTTTATTCAGTCCCTGAGGGAGATCGATTTTGGTCAAGCGGACTTTGCTAGAGTGTTAGAACACGCCATTCAATTCGGTATACCTGTCCTACTGGAAAACGTGGGAGAGACGATCGATCCGACTATAAATCCCATCCTCGAAAAGGCCTTCCTAAAAGTCGGTATGTCACGATTATCGCGACCGAGTTAAAGGGAAATCAAATTCGGATCGTGCACAGGTAATCAGGTGATGATCAAGTTCAACGAAAAGATGATCTCGTACAACGACAAGTTCCGGTTGTTCATGACGACGAAACTCCCGAACCCCCATTACGCCCCGGAGATATCTACTAAAACAACGTTATGCAACTTCGCCATTAAGGAACAGGGTAACTAATTGTCTTATCGTGCGCTTGCTAGAAAAGGGTGCAGCAAAGGGAAGGTACGGGACGAATAAGAAGACCTCGAGCAATATCGCAACGTTGCTTGTTTGAAAATTTCTTATTAATTTTATCAGCTGACTTGTATAATCCGCGAACTCGATCTGACGAGTCAATCACGGATTTAAAGAATACGCTGCTTATCAGGAACTAGTATATGTAACAGTCTATGTAACTAAATAACCGGAGGAAAACGCGCGGAGAACTTAGGAGAAGCTTAGAGGGGATCTAAGGCGCGCTTATACCTCCCAGGTTCTCGACTAGAAGTAACCTACTATGAATTCTCACGCGGTGCAAATTTTGTTCCGAAATTACCCTCGACTCACGAGATCGGATAAGGTGGAATTCGAATTGCCGAAATTTATCGAATAATCGTATTTTCCGCACAGGCTTGGAAGCTCAGCTGCTGGGAATCGTAGTCAGGAAAGAGAAGCCGCAGCTCGAGGAACAGAAGGATAATCTAGTGTACACGATAGCGTCCAATAAACGAACTCTCAAAGAGCTGGAGGACAAGATACTCTAGTAAGCTGTTCGACCTTTATCCTCTTCGTAATACAATTTCCGATTCGCGTATGAAAATGAAAACGGAGTATACGCGTTGCAGTCTACTGAACGTGGCCGGAGACAGTCTGTTAGACGACCTGGATTTACTGAGCGCCTTGCAATCGTCGAAAGCGACCTCTACCTCGATCGCGGAATCGTTGGTGGTTTCCGAGCAGACGGAGAAGGAGATAGATATGGCTCGAGAGGAGTACAGACCGTGTGCCCAACGCGCCGCGATCCTCTTCTTCGTGCTGAACGACATGAGCCTTATCGATCCGATGTACCAGTTCTCTCTGGACGCATACATTACCTTGTTTATGCTGTCGATCGACAAGAGTCCGAAGAGTTTGAAACTCACCGAGAGAATCGACAGTCTGAACGAGTATCACACTTACGCGTTGTACAAGTACTCGTCGACAGACCTCTTCTAATCCTTCCTGGACCTTAGGGTCCTGAGCAACACGAATGCACAGTCTCTAACGGGGATTCTGTCGGAATAGAAACACCTGTCGTGGTCTGTTCGAGAAACACAAGCTGTTGTTCTCCTTCAACATGTGCATCAAGATATTAGACGCCCAGAATAAAGTGATTCCAGCTGAATACGCGTTCCTGCTTCGTGGTGGAATTGTCCTGGACCGGGAAAGTCAGCCTGACAAGCCGGCAACTTGGTTGCCGGATGAAACTTGGGACAATATCACCGAGCTGGACAAGTTGCCGGGATTTCACGGGATCGTGTCGTCCTTCGAACAATTCCCGCGCGAATGGAACACTTGGTATCATTTTTCGTAACCATTATTCTCATTCCTGACGTGTACACCCCACGGATTCTTACGACAAAATATTCCGTGTGCGCTATGATCATAGTTCAGAAATATTCTTCGATGATCGAGCTATAGGAGTATAGACGAAACTAGGTTGAGTTTCATCTTTTGTTCGCTAATAGAGTTGTCACTAGCGCTATCCACGTATCGATGGGTATACACTTGCGAGAAAATTAGTATCGATGATCCATCTAGCGACGAGTATTCTTACCGATAGTATTGATTACTCCTGTTCACGACGATAGGTACATCAACACGGAACCAGAGAACGTACCGCTAATAGGGGACTGGGAATCGAGCTGCAACGTGTTCCAAAAAATGCTGGTGATACGAAGCTGTCGACCAGACAGGATCTCCTTCTGCATCGCGAACTACATCGTATTGAATCTTGGTCAGAGGTTCGTGGAACCCCCTGTGCTTGACCTGAAGGCGGTGCTCGACGATTCCGTGGCCCAAACTCCGCTCATATTCGTTCTATCGCCCGGCGTGGACCCTACGAGCACTCTGATGCAACTGGTCGACAACCAAGAAATGACCAATCACTTCATGACTCTGTCCCTTGGTCAGGGACAATCGCCCATAGCGACGAGGTTATTATAAAATATGTGACGCATCGTGGATATAGGGCACTTAAGAGATGGCTATCAAAAAGAATAAATGTTTTAACAGCGGCAAACGTTGTTTTCAGAATGATTGAACTGGGAGCAAAAGAAGGTGCCTGGGTATTTCTAGCAAACTGCCACTTATCCCTCAGCTGGATGCCAAAGCTGGACAAAATCGTGGAAACCCTCGGGTCCAGTAAAACCTTGCACCCTGAATTCAGGTGTCGATGCTCGTTCGAATGTAAATGTCGCGAGGTCAAACCGATAACGATAGCGTTCTGCTGGTTACAGATTGTGGCTTAGCTCGAGTCCTACTCCCCAGTTTCCCATATCGATCCTTCAAGCCGGGATAAAGATGACCACCGAGCCTCCCAAAGGTTTGAAAGCAAACATGAAACGGCTTTACGGTTTAATAACCGAGGGCCAGTTCGAACTGTGCCAAGCAAAGTCCAAGTACAAGAAGCTTCTCTTTGCTCTGATATTCTTCCATGCCATCCTTCTGGAACGCAAGAAGTTTCAACAATTGGGATGGAACGTCATCTACAGTTTCAATGATTCCGACTTTGTGGTAATTTTCGATAAGAATTATTTTCGATAAGAATAGTGACGGTAATCTTTCTCCCTCCGCAGGTATCCGAGAACCTCCTGCAGGTGTATCTCGACGAATACCCAGTGACCCCATGGGAATCCCTCAAGTACCTCATAGCTGGTGTTTGCTACGGTGGTCACGTGACGGATGATTGGGATCGTCGGTTGTTGATGACGTACGTCCAACAATATTTCAACGACGATGCCCTGGAAGTGACCAACTATCGTTTGTCGTCATTGCCAACCTATTACATACCGAGAGACGGATCATTAGAATCCTATCGTGATTTCGTCTCGATGTTACCGAACGTGGACAAGCCCGAGGCATTCGGTCAACATCCGAACGCGGACATCACTTGTTTGATCATGGAAAACAGGCAGATGTTCGAGACCCTGATGAGTCTTCAAGTTCAAGCGGTCAGCAGCGAAGTCGTCAGCAAGGAGGAACTGGTATCTCGACGAATTGCAACGAGTCGCGATCGCGAACGAACTAAATATCGTGTTTTGAAGGTAACGCAGCTAACCGCGGACATACTGTCGAAGATACCCGGCGATATCGATTACGAGACAGCTGTAAAGATGATAGGAGCAAAGAAGACGCCGTTGGACGTCGTACTGCTTCAGGAGATCCAACGTTACAATATCCTCCTACGGAAAACTCGTAACAGTTTGAAGGAACTTCAGCAAGCCATTAAAGGTCTGGTCCTAATGTCCCCGGATCTGGAGGAGATCTTTACATGCGTCCACGAGGGAAGAGTCCCCTCCGTTTGGTTGATAGCGTACCCGTCCTTGAAGTTGCTCGGTCCTTGGACGAGGGATTTGGTCAACCGTATAGAGCACTTTGGCGAATGGGCACAAACTACTCATCCACCGTTGCTGTTCTGGCTGGCTGCTTTTACATTCCCCACAGGTTTCCTTACCGCGGTACTCCAGACATCTGCCAGGCTCTGGAACGTGTCCATTGATTCCCTGTCCTGGGAGTTCAGCGTTTTTACCGTAGATGACTCGACCATCATCGAACCACCGCAGGTAATTGGCGAGTTGACGTTAAACAGCTTTCGCGATCATGTTAACGGTCCACGATTATCCCGAGACTCGAATAGCTTCTATACCGTAGCGGAATCGGATTATGGCGGAGTTAAACTTATCTTGGTCTTAACTGTCTTGTATTTTACGACAGGTGGCAACGGGACTTTACGCGGGAGGTGTAGTCATAACTTATGGTTAGATTACGGAAGGGTATATAGGCTATAGAGTCGAGGTACCTCCATTGCTTGTCTTTTCCGGTTGTTTTAATACACTTCGCACCTCTGCAAATTAGTCTTGGCCGGCGCTTCTCGGAGTGTACACTCAAGTGCGAAGCTTACGAATGGTGCTTGGGAAGAGGGGCTTATATCCTTGTAATTTTTTTTTAATGACCTAGTATATTTCATTCGAACCACGAGTATGAAGTCGACTATAAAGGATGCGTTCTCGTGCAAAATTCATCAGTACAATTTCGCATCTAATTTGCCCGAAGAAAGTTGTTTCTATTTCCGTGAATTTAACATGAACACGAGTCGAGATCCGTTCAATCGTAACGAAACATCGTCGTGCAATTGAGCCGGCGGGAAAGCCGAGCAGTAGGATCGATCCAATTACTGCCGTTGTCGCCATCGTTCTCCCTTTAATGCAAGCGAAACGAGCCGCGGAAAAATAGGGGGAGATAAAGAATTCAGTATCGCGATATCGCTAGGAAATAGCGACGCGTGTGTGCACGCCTCTAACCGTGTGTACATTCCATTACAGGACGGCGTGTACATACGCTCCATCTTTCTGGAAGGCGCTGGATGGGACAAGAGAAACAGTGTCCTCGTCGAGCCAGCCCCGATGCAACTTGTTTGCGACATGCCGGTGATTTACTTCCGGCCCACGGAGCAGCTGAAAAAGCGAACCAGAGGTAACGACAAACATTCGAACGAAGGAAAATTGCGAGTAACGTCAAAGCGTCGCTTTAATTCTTCATGCAGGACTCTACAATTGCCCCTGCTACTATTATCCCGAAAGATGCGGCGGTCAAGGACGGCCGTCTTTCGTCGTGGCGGTCGATTTGAACGCTGGACCTATGGGATCGGACTTCTGGATAAAGAGGGGAACCGCTCTTCTACTCAGTCTCTCTACCTAGTTTCTTGTCGATGGTTTTTTATTATTAGTTCGAGTTAATAATTTGTATATAAGTTTAGAAAAAGGAACAATAGTATCACTCTTATTTTTCTTGATCCTCTTAAACCTTACGATTAGTAGGATGTTCACAGACACAATACTTATTATTAAAGTAATAATGTAAGAGACAAAATTTGTTTTTATGTACGGTGGCATGGTAGGATTTCTAGCGGAAAAGGCGGTGTCTCGCTCTTCCGAGATCCCATTCGAGTTGATTCAAGGTTTCCCTTGATACGAGTCTCCTCCTAAATCGCCATTTCCGCTATGAAAACCAACTGTGCTCGCCATTGTACGTTTCATCTGAATTTTCCGTGTCTTCGTATCTCAAAAAATAACACAGTGTCCTAACTTACGGGGACACCGAGAGAATATAAAAGTTCATTCTATAAATATTTGAATATATACAACAATTGTGGTAAAAAAATGTAACTTCGCAGCTCTCGCGACCCGCCGTGAATTCAACGCCACAATATCAAAACATAGAACGAGCTAGCTAGACAAGGAACCATTAGCCAATCTTTGAACGTCTTGGGAGAATCCGAAGACGACTGAGCAGAGTCTGCTGCCCTGATCTTCAAGCTCTTCAGAGTATCCGTGATAGTCTTGCTGGTGTTGGAAGCGTACTGCATCCATTCCATCGGTGAAACAGGCACGTTCGTAGGTGCTTCGAGATCAGACAATTTGTCTCTGGCTTCGAACAGAGTTTTCAACGAATTCTCATTCGTAATACCGTCTTCTTTCTTCAAGTTATCCACAAGGTCTTGAATCGTAGAATTCAGCTGTGTTTGGAAAGCGATCCAATCTGTCGCGGTGTTATTCCAAACAGGCTTGCTCGTCGCGATCAGGTCCTTCAGGGAGGCTATCTGAGTCTTCAGGTCGGCGAAGGATTTGTTGAACATTTCATGAAGCTCGTCAAAGTCGATCTTGTCTGTAGCGTTTGCAGCGTTCAAAATATTCATCACGGTATCGTTGATCTGCTGCTTGAAAGAGACCCATTCGTCCGAAGGTATAGCGGGTTTGATAAACTTGGTATAATCGAATTTACCAGTGCCTCCAGCAGCCCGAAGAGTAGGTGTTTCTTCCGATTTACCTGTTTCCTTCAACCATTCCGCTTTCATATTATCAATCTCCGTCTTCAGCATCGCGAAATCGTTCGCGGTGGATTGTTTAAACGCTGCCCAAGCCACGGGATCAATCGTCGTTGGTTTTTTCTTCTGGATATCCTGTACCATTCGAGTCAAAGAGTCATTGATGCTGCTACGGAAGTCTGCCCAGTCGCTGTTCAAAGCAGACATCTCTACGTTGTTGTACGATTTCGGAGAAGCTTTCAGTTTTCCACAGGAAGGAATCAAGTTATAGGATCCGGACGTCGCAAGTTCCAACGGCGACGGAGTGGTCTTAAACGCTGAGAAACTCTTCATGATCTCGTCCCTGTAGGTCGCCCATGCTGGGTCACCCGGCGGAGGCATGTCGTCCTTGATCTTCTGCACGGCGTCGTTCACTGTTTTAATGATCTCAGACTTGTAAGTCAGCCAATCAGACAGGGGTGGTTCTCCGGTTGCCAGTTCGGTGGGTGCAGTGGGTCTCTGATTATCTATTTTATCGTGAAGGGCTGAAAAGCGATCCTTGATGTCGTTTCCATAAGCTGCCCATGCTGGATCTCCGGGAGGCGGCATGTTACTGCCTATGTCCATAATTGTATCGTCCAGAGACGATATGATGTCATCCTTGTAGTTCTTCCAGTCAAAAATTGCAGGAATCGAGGTTTTCAAATCTAATGTCTCGTTGTTCATGGACAAAGTTGGATCCCCCTTCATGGACGCGATCTGGTTCTTTAAATCAGCAAACTGATCGATGATGCTCTGTTTGAAATTGATCCACTTGGTAACAGAAGCAGGACCTCCTTTCATAGTCCCTATGGAGTCGTTCAGAGACTTCAGCAGGTCGTTTTTGAAAGTAATCCAATCCTGATACACGTCCATTGGACCTGCTGCTCGAAGCAACAAATTGTCACAATCTATAGCCTTCTCTACCGGTCCAACGATAGATTTGTTCGCTTTTGGAGGATGCAAGTCGGACAAGCGACTCCTGATATCGGAGAACGAGCTGTTTATGTAACTCTTAAACGCCAACCAATCCGTGTCGAGAGCGGCGGATGCTCTGGTGTCGTTGATGAAGGTCATCACGTCTTTAATCGTGTCGTTAATGTTGGTCTTCAAGGCGGTCCAATTTACCGGCACGAAGGAAGCTTGTAACATCGGAGGTTTATCTTGCTTCCACGGCGCGAAAGATGGCGCAGGGATGTCCTCGCAGGACATCATGGGGTTTCCTGGTCCGATTGCGCGCATCACTTCCGCTTGAGTTTGAGTCACTCCGTCGGAACAGTCGCAGATCACCTTCGCCAGAGACGTTTTACGGAGCTCCCTAAGTTGTTCTGAAATAGAATAGCACGGATTTTTATTTCTGTTTCAAAGGATGAGCATGCGGTACAACCGGTTTCTTACCTTCCGTGAATGAATGAGGTTGATTGGCAACCTCGTACCAGAATCGGTCGCCTTTCTGCAAGCGTACGAACTGATCCGCGATGAGGCAAGAAAATACGGGTCCAACGATGCCGCCAGATTTAGGTAGCTCGGCCAGAGCACCCGTGTACAGGTCCACATCGTGAACGGACTCGTACAGTAAGGATATCTCGTGAAGAGCTTCGGGATCGAAGTGTCCTTCAAGATCCGAGAAGCTTTCGGTCTTTCCTAATCCACAATATTCTCTCCATCTGGTGTATCCCGGGAGACCGTGATCTCTGCCACGCTGAATGTTCAAGGACACCAAGTCCAATCCGCAAGGCAGACTAACGTTAGCGAACGGATCCTCGAACAGGTGATTGGTCAACTGAGAAGTGACGTGCGTGGACGTCATCTGAATCACATTCTGAGTGGCTGACATCACCGAACTTTTCACTCCACCTTCGGTGTACAGACTGTAGGGATTAAACAGCATCCTGTGAAGCTCCACGTAGGACGAGCTGCCTTCCTGGGCGTCCGTCATCTTCATCAGCCCAGGTAACAACGTGTGAGCGAATCTGAACGCTGCAGATGCAAAGTTGTTGGCTATGGACGGATCCGTGCTCGCATCTTCCGGATCGTCCGTCCACTGTCTGTATCCGGATTTCAGAGGTCTAAGATCGCGCAAATTTATCTCCTGTTCGCCCAATACGATGGGCAGAAATTCCTGGTAGGTGATGTGTTGCATCTGGGCACCAACTATACGTCGGGACTCCTCGTACAGCGTGTCGTCGTCCCAGCTTGGGTTTATCTTGGCTAATTGGTCAGCGATTTGATTGTGCTGTCTCGCCCAGAGCAAATGCATCGTCGTCAGGTGCAAGTTCTCGTTGGCTCTGGCGTCACCTGCTGCAAAGCAGTATCTACCTCTTTGTCGCTCGATTTCTCGGTTGCAGCCGTCGTTGGGGTTCGTGCTTGCTGGCAACAGAGTTCTGTTGTCAGGCGTTGTCTGCATCCTCAAACGGCCGCCCGAGAATTCTCGCAGGCCCCTCGCTGTGTCAACGTCTGATCCGTAGACGGTGGATCCGTCGATGAACGCGGTCACCTACGAGTAAAAACGAAAATATGATTGAAAAAACAGGAATTTCGCAGTCCACCTTTTTTCGCGCTGTATCTATTTATCAACGCAATTTTCTGTTCATTGTGCAGAATGGTTATTGCCGCGATAACGAACGCCTCGTTACGATCGAAGCTCGCCTCATTGACGCGACGATAACGAAGTTAATTAAGCTCGCATATTGCACGCGCAAACTTTCCGTCCGTCGCGATGGCAATTTCGCTCTCAGTCTCGTTTCGTGCGAATTAACTCGATTACCCGACGAATTACCCCGCTATTTTAAACTCGATTACCAAAAAATGAATCGAACCGTCAAAGATACCTGATTCAGCTGTTGCCTGGGCCCGAGCTTGCACTGGGGCGCAGGTGCGGATCTCACGAAGTCCATGCAGGTCCTGCCGGTGACGTCGAACACGGGATCGCCGGCAGCCACCGGAACTGGGAAGCATTCCGGATGCCCAACAGCCGGTGGACAACAGGAGATGGAGGTGCCGTTGATGCCCTGACTGATCGCCGTGGCGGTGATGTCGTGATCCAGGAACTGCCCGTACACGGCCAGCATCACCGTGAAATGTGGATTGGTGCTGGGTGACGGCTTGTGCACCTTCAGACTGACCTCTCTGGCGGAGGGCAGCTCTGCTCCTGAGAGCGCCCTACGCGGTGCATCGACACCGTCCGCGTAGCTGGGTGGCAGGGCTCTTCTGAAAGGCGTCATCGAGACTCCCCATTGCACCCGTCGATTACAGCTTCCGTCGAACGTTCTGTACTTGCTCGGGAGGCAAGTTGGAGTTTTCAGTTGCTTGCAGACGCCCAGAGACCACCAGCCTCCGTCGAAAAAGCTTCCGATGGCGGTCGGCGCCGCCAACATGGCCCTGGAGCTTTCGATCTTCTTGGTAGCCGCTAGTTCGGCCACGGCTGCCAAAGATAGAGCCTTGACGCTCGCGCACGTGTTCACGGCGTAACGGTGCCTAGATTCCGGTGACGGAGAGAGTAAGGGCGATGTCGCGGCGACGGCGTCGGCGAACAGACGATCTTTCATCGCTTGGTGACCGGCTTCTATCGCCTGGTTGTACTCCTCCTCGGTCAACTTCGCTGGCGGAGAGGTTTCCGCGCTCCCGTCGAGGACGGGAATCGAATTCGAAGCTGGAGCGATCGCTGGACTGCTGTAGAGCGTGTACGAACCGGATCCTGGTGCGAAGCTTAACTTCAAGGAACCGGTGAGGTTAGATGAGATTGGTGAAGATGGAGCTGTGAGGTTCGCGTCTAGGATGTTGTGGCTGACCGAGTAGCTGACTGCCACTATCAGGGTCATCGTGAAGATCGCTCTGGAATAATGAATTCGTTGTAATTTAAATCGATAAAGCTGTCTCGTCTTTAATCGGTATTCGTACTGATTGAGTTTCGCTTTGAACCGGTGAAAGTGTTCGACCCTCCGGAAGTTATCGAAAATCAGCATTGTTCGATGACTAGAATGAAAGTATTTAAATCGATGAGAAGCATGAATCGGTTCGTGCAGCTTCGAGATGGTATTGCGACGCTCCAAGGAGTCAGCCGAGCAACGTTGAGCAACCACACTGTCACCGTACAATTACGCGCGTAATCAAGGCCAGACGTCACGTAATCAGCCTACGCGTAAAACGTCCAGCTCTATACGGCTGTTTGTAAACGACTTACGCGACATTTTGCCCTGCAAATGCAATAAAGACGCGCCGTTGCTCCTAATACCTAGCGGCCGATGTTAAGAGCACCTTTCGGATGACGAATACCCTGCGACGACTTCACCCGTTCCGTGTTCAACATTTGCGAAAGAAAGAGAGAAAGGTCTCCTTCGGAAAGAAACGGTTTCTACCGATTTCTTTATGCGAATCCCTACACGAGATTCCCCGTGTGTGCGAATACGTTGAAGCAGCGGTCAGCGAAAACCGCAACAGAGAAACCGCGACGGGGTCTCGTTATTGCACGGATCTGCGATCCCGTTTCACGCAATAATTTCAATACGCCTCAAAGATATCTTTACTCGGGTTGATGAGAGTCAACACTAAAACGTTGCGAAACTGTACACCGTAGTGGGTGAAAACGTGACTTTTCTTGCGGTGCGATTGAAAAAAGGTGAAATCTAGGGATATAGGTCTGCCGATACAAAAATATAGAGATTCGAGCATACGAGTACAGAGTTGCAGGAGAATAAAAATTATAGTAGTAAAACGGTGTAAGAATATGCAGATGTATGAGTGTACGAATGTGGAGATATAGCAATCTAGAGATCTAGGAATGTAGAAATGCAAGAATGTAGGAATCTAGAAATTCAGGGATGCATACCTCGCAGTGGCTCTCGCGTTTTCCTCTTAAAATTCAAATACTAATTACGATAGCAATATATCAAGGATAATAAACGAGAAACGTAGCATTGAAAATTAACCTGTCGTTAACAATTAATATTTCAATGTACACTGCAGCACATGATTTTCACTGTAACAGCCATTAGAGGATTTCGCAAGATTTTAGTGAGTTCTCGATTGAACGTGCCCCGATTTGTGTGAAATCAAAGACGACCGAAACTCACATCAAGACGGTGTACGCGAGACATCGTATCCGCAGCCGTTGTCTCCTCTGAATAGAATAAAATGGCAACGTGTCTCGTTGCACGTAATACACCCTGTCCGATTTTTCGCCGGTCAACGAGGTCGTTTCCGTGGCAGACATCGTTGATCGCTCATGAACCGAGCTTAGACCGCACTGAAACGATCGGCCGGTCGATCGGTGGTCGAGGTGAGCGATGATTTTACGTAAGGTATCCACTTACGGTGGGGATTGAATGGACAATGATTTTTATGGCTAGCTCCTACAACGTACGTGTGTTTGTGCTCCTTGAATATCGTGTACTTATCGTGCACTTTAAAAAGCAATGTTTTCTTCTCCCAAAGAAAGATTCCGTCAACATTTAAATCACGTGCATTACTAGTTAATTCTTGATCAAATTTTAATCGCTTTTCAAACAAACGAAGAATGAAAATTATAATTCTGTGAAAGGGGAACACCAGAAGAATCTTGCCAGGGTGTTCAACCCCTTTCACTATTGTATTTTTGAAAGTATCTTGTATTTCTAATGGTGACTACATGCTTATTTATGTCTGTTTGTTCGAAAGGCTTCTCTTGCATCACTGGACAGGCCACTTCTCGTGTAATTATATAAACACGATTAATTGGAGACGCATATTCTTAATGCTATCGAACAACAGATTGACAACGTGCAGGTGTGCAACACACTCTGCGTGAAACAAACGTCGCTTAATTACTGTCGATACCGGGGACATTCTACGCCGTAGTCGGCCATATTTGATTACATTTTCTTCTTAATTAAGACACAGTCTCAAAAATCTAATTTCATTTCACACGAGTGTGATACTCCTATGCCGTAAATTTTCCTTCAGATCGAATGATTTGTGTGAAAGCTCGGTTTGCAAAGAAAGAAGAGACTTACATGAGAGTAGCGCAGATGCAGCATTGAAATTGCCTGATGCGGGCCTTTCTGGTCCTCAAGAGGCTCGCGAATTCCACATAATCCGGAGAATCCAAGGGTCTTGTGAGGGAGGTCCTCTCTGTGACGCGTCTGCCTCCGTACATGGTGCACGACAAAACCTCACTGGCTACGAAAAGAAACCACGAAAGAAATGGCCGTCGAAGCGTGTCGACGACCGCC